TGAAATCTTATATATGTACATGTACTGCACAGTACTCTGAAATCTTACGGGAACTCCCCAGCTCTGCAGGACAGGGCTCAGTTCTGTTCAGCTACCCTGCAGCGTGACGAAGCCCACCACCTCGTCCTGGTTGATGTGCGCGTGAGGCTGCCCAGGATGTAGTTCTCCACCTCGGCTTGGGTCCGGACTAGAACCAGGCCGAACCCCACCACAGTCTGTCTCCTGCAGTCCCCAGGATCCAGGTCACACTGAGTCTGGATCAGCTGCAGCCCAGGTACTCACCAGTGAAGATACAACTTGAAGCCTCCTCCTTCCTGCCAGTTCTGTGAACTTGATACAAATTCTAGATAGATCCTCACTCCGCTGCTGCCAGTTCGGCAGAAAGCAGCGTCGGGAAGCACTGATGGCTTCTGGGTAGTGTAGTTCTTTTGACCTGAGTTACAGTATAGGCTTATTGGAAAACTACAAAATGGTGGCACCTGTCAAAAGTATATTTTTCATTAACTTTTTATCCTGTACTGTCCCAATCATGTGTCGTGTACAATCTTACGTTGAAAACCCACGAAAGTCGAAGAACCGATGAACTACGTGTACTCAGTCTGACAAATTTCGCAGATGAGAACAATGTCATTTTTACACATTTCTTTAATAATTTATAAAACAGTCATAAAATGTGCGCTACAAATATTACAACTTTACAAATAGTGTGTAAAATATAACCCGTGAGCTTAAAATTTACTTTGTACAGAAAACCACACCTCTGGTGTCAAAATTAAAATATATATATATACACATTTAATTCTGTTCCATAACATCTGGAGAATAATTATTTTTAGTTAAAACAAATAAAACTCTTAGAAGTTACCTCAGAAAATCAGTTTTCTGTGTCCAGTCAATTCTAAAAGTTCACTGAGTGCAAAACATTCATTTTGGTAAACGTTCTTTAAAATGTGCTGATTGGACGGAGAACGAGTTTAAAACATCCTAAAAGAATCAGATTCCTGTGCTGCGTCTGGAGACTGTGCATAATAAATAAATAGATCGCCGCTCCTCTCATTTACCCGTTTTTTTGTTGGACTTGTTCAGGATCTTCATGAGGTTTTTGGACATGAAGTACGGCTTCTGCAGAGACCCGTCGTTTCGCTCCAAGTCCTCCACTGTGAACGAGTTCGGATCAGAAACAGTTTTTGTTTCGTTACCGTCGCTGGTAACGAGGACGTGGTTGAACTTTGAATCTCCGTGTGTTTACTCACAGAAGCAGAGGAAGAGCGTGTCCACACACATGTTGTACACGCTGAAGAACCCCTGAGCTATGAGGTAGCTGCCGAACACCACCGTCTACGACGCGTAGAAATAAAAGAACGTAAAGATGTTGAGAGCATAAAAACTTTTAAAGTATCCGAACAGCAGTTGGTGTCTCACAATAATTGGCATCCAGTAGTAGTTGAGGGTTTCGGAGCGGAAGGTGCTGCCTGGAAGCAGAATCCGTCCAGAGAAGAAGAAGAAGGACAAAACGCCTGCGAGGACGAGACGTGAGCGTTTAACCCGGACTCTGATTATAAAAACATTTTGCAAATATTTTTAAATTAATGGAGTTTCCAAACCAGATAATGTGAGTTACAAACGAACCAAACAGTTTAAAAACAGTTAGTGAACTTAATAAATGTTTTACTTTTTATTAATAATTCTTAAATTTCAATTAGTGTTTGGACAATGTTCCAGTTTTAAACAGTTTCATTTTCAGGACTTCACCTTAAAACATTAAATATATTTTATTGTTTTAGTAAAAATGAATTCAACAAATTATTTAAAACTTTTGATATTTTTCTCAGCTTAGTTCAGTTCTACTTTAAATTGATTGTATTTAGTTCAAATGTCACGTTTTTCTCTCTAAAATAAAAGTGCCTCGCATACAAAACAAATGCGCTGATCTTGATGAACATCTTTCAAATTGAAAGCGGCGCAGATGATCGATTATTGATTATCAGTAGATAAATTGGGGGTAGGTGGTGAGAAATAAAACACAGACATCGAGTATCTTGAGATCAAACCCACCATCATTTTTATATTTAAATAGTTTCTGTAATTAAAAAACAACAACTACTAAATAAATTTATGTTTTTGAGAACCTCATTTAATCAACTTCTCCCTGAAATCATCCAGGATTCTTTCTAAATCGACATTTTGATGAATAATCTACAGCAATATTCTCACTAATCTCAGATTAAAACAGTATGAACAGAATGTGGTGTTCTTTATGGCCGATGCGCAGGACAGACGTCTTTTTGTTGTATGTGGGACAACAAAAGTGTTCTGATCAGTTCTTATAAGGTTTTTGTTAAAAACCTCCGTGAACTTTAGCCGTGTGTCGTCGTCATGTTTCCCTACGTTCGTTTATTTCTGCTGTTGCTACGGAAACTCAAGATATCAGCTCCACTGAAGGCGACGCACGCCCTTACCTCAAGGTTAGGATACTCAGAGTTATTTACCCACAATGCTCGATTGTTGCGAGTTAGTTTGTTGAACTTCCTGTCTGGAACACATTCGGAGTTGATCCTGTTCTTGAAGCTCTCAGTGGCAGTTACATGTAATTCTGACTCCCCTCTCCTCAGTGGGGTTAGGGCTCTGAAATAAACGTCTGCATCCCACTTGAAAAGATCATTTATAGTAGGAAGAACAAGTAGGATACCTTCTTGAAGTCTGGCAACCCAACTTAGAATATATGCACACTGCACAGCTGTTACCATAGACATGTTATTATTAGAAAATGGTTGTGATGCAGGGATGCTTTGCTGTCTTTTTTTAATACAATGGTTCTGTGTTGTTTTATTTTATCTTAATTTTGTTTGTTTGTTTATGTATTGGGTAAGGGATGTTTATTGTTTGGAGTTCTGTGTTATGTAAAACTGTTTAAAAATGATAAAAATAAATAAATAAACTGCTGCAGGTGTTCCTCACCGACTCCTCCGACCACCAGCAGCTTTCCAAAGAACAGCAGCAGGTCGGTCACTTTATCGAGCACGACGACCCTGTGAGTTGGACAAATGACATCAAATCTCTCTCACAGGCTAATGTTTATTCTGTGGATTTAATCCGAGTCAGATTATAGGAGTGACTTCAGATCCTACCTTATGATGTTTCTCATGAGCAGCTTGAAAGCGTTTTTAGCTGAGACGCAGAAGTTTTTCCCGTAAATGGCGATCTGACAAGAAAAGGAGACAGATAATACTCAGGATGAAACGCTGGAAACGGGTTGGAGTTCAGTCGCAGTAAAATCTGTTCCAACTTTGTAAAGAGCACTGGAATACTTCTGATAATATTCAGAACGTCAATAATAATGTCTATAAATTGATGGGCTCACCATGATGTAGGCGTTCCGGTTGATGAACTTGATGAACTTCTCCAGACACCAGAAGCAGCACTTCAAGCAGCACACGAGGAAGCGTGCGCACGCGTTCTGCGCCGCTGCAGAAAAGAAGGTGGAACGTCAGAACCACGTGCACGTTAAATGATTCGACATTTTACTCTTTGATCCTCGTTTTGTGAAAACTCCTGGTTCCATTTAAAACAGTTTATTTGTGGCCGGGCTCGTCATGTTGAGAGGTCAGACAGACGTGTAGGTGAGAGGAGCCTCGTCGGCCTTACATCTCGTTTTGTGGTCGATGTACTCCAGTAAGATCCTCACGATTTGCACCAGGGTCAGGATTAAAGCACCGAATGCTAAAGAACCCACGTGGAACCTACAAATAAAGAACAAACATTGAACATTCTGGTTTTTATGAGCACATGGTAATAAAAAATGTGAAGCTCATCATTACAGAACATGGGTCATGTGGTTGAAATGACGTAATCTTTTTGTTGGCCTTTGTGGCCCTCTAGGGTTTACAAGGAAAACTGGTTCTGTGAATTTATCTCTGATGTCCATGATGTCCAACTGTCTTCAGGTCAAAATGTTCCTCGAGACCTAATATTTAAAACAGAGTTCAACTGAGTAGCATTTCCTGTGAAAATACAGTGTGACCTCTTATTGCAGAAGAACTTGCTGAAATGTAGCTGAAATGGAAGAACAAGCCTAAATGACCAGAAGGAACACATATTTGCTGAATTAGGTTTGAATAAGCAGAAATTAGCATAAAAATTAGGAAATTAGCTAATAAAAAAGCTTAAATTAGCAAAAAGTAGCTGAAAGGGCAGAAAGAAGCTTAAAACTACCAGAAGGAAGCAGAAATAACTGAAATGAGCCCAAAAATGTGGAATTAGCTGAAAAAGATTCAATTAGCATAAAATAGCTAAAGAGAAGAAATAGCAGAAATAACTTGAAAGGAGCATAACAAACTGAAATTAGCATAAATAAGTTAATTAGACAAAGTAGCAGAAATTACCATGAAAAACTTGAATTTATCTGAAAATAGCCGAAATCAACTAAAAAATGCTAACAGGTTAGCTGAAAAGATAAAACAAGCAGAATTAGAAGAAATTAAAAAAAAAACACGTTTGCCCAATTAGGCTGAAAGAAGCACAAATGAGTACAAAGCAGTGGAAATTATCTGAAAAAAGCTGAAATTAACAAAACAAACAACAAAAAAACAGATAAAAAGAAGTTAAAAAGCTGAAAGAAGCTTGAATTACCAGAAGGAAGTGGAGAGAGCATATTTCTGCTGAATTAGGCTGAAAGAAAGTTGACATGAGTGCAAAAAATGTGGAAAAAGCTTAAGTGAGCATAAAACAGTTAAATAGTAGCTGAAATAAAAAAAAATTCCTTTGGGATCAATAAGGTAAATTGATTGATTGAAACAGCAGAAAAAGCTTAAACTTACAGAAATGAGCTGAAATAAGTTGAATTTAGCAGAAAGAAGTTACAAGAAGCACAAAAATGTTGTAGTTAGCAGAATGAATCTGAAAGGAGCACAAAACAGCTGAAAGTAGCTGAAAAAAGTTTAAATTTGCACAAGGAAGCTGAAAGAAGCTGAAGCAGAACAAAATGTGAAAGGAGCAGTAAAAGGTTGTAAACTCATCTAAAGATATGAAGGATGTAAAACGAGCTCAATTAATTTTATGCGAGGAACAAAAAGTGGCAGAAAAGGCTAAATATTTGAAAAAGCTAAAGTTGCAACAATACCAAAAGTCAAAGCACCTTTCTCCTGAATGAACTGAACATTTTGATCTATGATTTGTTGAAATAGCACAAAAACTGTGGAACGAGAAAAATGCAGAAAAGTGTACGTAAGAAAAATGGATCACAATAGAGTGAATGCTTCATAACATTCAGACAGTTTTTTTAAAAAAAAACCTTATTCCGCCCTAAAAATGTACCGTTTCTTTGTTTTAACGTGATGTTTTTTACGTTCCACTGTGAATAAACTCAGCAGCTCGTTTCCCCACCTGATGGCGCGCATGAAGCTGGCGCACACAGGAAACATGGGGATGTCGCCTGGTTTGACGAAGGCCCAGTAGTAGGAGGCGAAGGCCCCCGCCAGCGTGCACTGCCCCAGAGCGATGACAAAGTTTGCACACCAGAGAAAAGCGATGACGTTGTAGATCTGCAGGTTGAAGAGGTTCCTCTGGAAGAGACCCTCGTCGTTGTATTTGATGAAGATGCAGCTAGCGGACGAGCAGCTTGGATAGTTTGACGAGTTGAATTTCTGAGACAAAAAAAAGTTTCTGTCACTGAAGGAAACCTGTTGCTGCGATGAACATGAGAGGAAAGTGTTTTTCTGCTCGCTCACCTGAGGGTCACAGTTCTCGGTGCCGTTGATGCTCTGACAGCCGCTGGACGTGGAATTAAGAGCCACCACTTTGTAGACCGGCCCTCCTGAAGTGGCCAAATATCTGCGCACATTAGCTCAGTCAAAACCGACTCTCTGGAGCGAACAAAGCTCAGACGCTGCGCCAGATTAAATCAAAGGATACAAAGCTGTGGCGCCCCAGTAGGCAACACAGACCAGCAGGAGAACAAAGGTGATCAGAGGGTAGAACAACGTCGACATCATGTGACCGATCGCTCTGCGGAAGATAAACTCACCGTGAGCTTTCTTGAGCTCATGCTGCAACTTAAAACCATTTCATACAATAAATAAAGTTTATATGTGTCTAAATACAACCCAGGAGACGGTGAATGTATTTTTCTGTGAAACAAACGGAGTCAGTGCTCTGACTCACTTGCTGGACTCTTGAATGAGAGCGATGGCGATGAGGATTCTAGTTCTGAGGAAGATGAGGGTCAGAAGAATGATGGCCTCTGCCACACATATGATTATCACTGAGGGTTAAAGAGCCAAATGATTAACACCCAGGAAACAAAAACAGCACTGTGCACATGCATGTTGACTGTTGTACCACAATAAAATTCACTCTGTTTTCAGCATAGAAAGAAAGTCATTTTATAAAATTAATCAAGTTAAAATAGAAATGTGAGACTTTCTCATCCATCTTCAGATACTGTTGAAAAATTGTGCCTCTCATTTACTCCATATTATTGTTAAATAAAAATAAAAAAATCATTAAAATCATTCTATATTTTAGTCAGTAATCCAAACTAAAAAGACAGTGGAAACCATGGCCGTACGGTGGTTCTTGACTGGGTTTAAATAAATAAAATCATGACTTACAAAAGGCCAACCAGGTTTCTTGAACTTGTAAATAGGTCTGGAAGTTGGTGGTGAAGCCAACGTTACTGATGGAAGCAGATTGTTGTTTGTAGTTATTATACTCCCAGTAGCAGTGATAGATCCCTAAACAACAAAAGGAAATTAATCTTAAAGAATCTCACATGTCAAAAGCTAACTTGAATGTGTAAAAATGTGTTTACCGTATGCACCGGCTCCGAGGAGTCCTATGATGAGGACCCAGACCATGACAGGAGCGGTGAACCTCAGCAGCAGCAGGAACAGCAAACTGACCAGCATGGCAATCAGCAGACCACTGAAACCAGAGGACAGGAGCAGGACGGGACCGTTACAAACACGATTACCGGACAAGAACTAACAGAAGAGGTAGAAGACAGGAAGAGGCCAAATCACATGTAAAATGGCTGATCACGTTGTTTGCACAACTGCTGATCGATGCGCACATGCTAACGTGTGTAGCATCTATATTTACTTACGTAAACTGAGAGTGATGGGTGTGACAACACGTCTTGTTCGAGTGGTTTTAGAGCCGTAGAGTGTGATGGCGGTTACTTTAAATCATATCGTGAACAACCATGCAACGTTCAGATCAGCAAAACATCTTGAGCATTAAAGCCTGCAGCGTGAACGCAGCCTTACGTAGCAGATATGTTCTGGACTTTACAATGACAAAAGTATGGCTAATTTCATGACGTCACCATGCAGCTAAAACCTAATTATTAATCTCCCAGCATACTTTTAGATGTTTCTTTTAACTGAAGTTGTATTTCTCAGCATTTTATAAATATTCTGCAGCACACCTTCAGTGAATCAAAGACACGATCAACTCACACGAGGATCCACGGCCACGATGAAGCAAAATCTTCAAAGATTCTGATTCCGACGTCTCTGGCATTAAAACCATTCACGATGTCCCTGAGGAAGAAAAGTGCAGGACAACTTATTTTAAAGGCTGCTCTCCAGTTAAAATGTTACGTTCAAAACAAAAACTAAACAATGCAACCACAGAAATGAAGCAAAGACAAAACAACAAGCGTTTCTAAAACAAATGCATTGTTTAATGCATTTCTCTACAACTACTGTGGAAAAGCAGAAAAATGTCTTGAGCTGTAGCTGATGGCGCAAGCAAAATATATTTCCCAACTTTTGTTTTCTGTTCACACAAAAACATGCTAAGAAAAGAAACGCATTCCAAGATGATCATCTTAGAGGAACAGACGGTAAAGAAACTTCAATCTGTAAATGCTGCGTTCACAAGAAAGCGTTTTGGATACAGATAAAGCTGCTGCGCTCTGAAGCGTCCAACACCCAGCTGCTACGCTACGGCTCAGAAAACTCACAACATCACTGACCGTGAGCTGGTGAGGGGAAAGAGACACGAGATTAAACTCTGAGGATTATTTGAAATATACAAGACGTTTCTCGTCTTCGTGACGGTGAGAAGTGCGTTTCTTACCCTGTGCCATTTCTAATGAGGCTGACTGTGTCGTTGACGGACAATCCTGTTACATTTGAGAACGCCGGTGGGAGCTTGTCGAGAGCCGATATGTCCGGCAGACACCTCCCCAACACTGAGAGCAGAAGAATAACACAGTTAAACTTAAAAAATACCAACTCCTTCACATGGTTTAAGATCCAAACTATGTGAACTGAGTTATTAAAGCTAAAATCAACAAATTGTTAGCTTAGAACAGCAGCATGATGGCTAAAACGCTAACTAAAATAGCAAAACTCTACCTAAAAACTAAAAATAAGTAACTAAAGGTTAGCTAAAAGTAGTAAAATGCAAAGTATTGTTAAAATACTCAAGATAAATAAATATAGTAAATATACTGCTAGTACTAAATATAGTAAAATGTTAGCTAAAAGCTAAGAATAATCAAACGATAGCTAAAAGTAGCATAAAGCTAGTAAAGCGGCATAAGAAAAAAATGTTTCAAGTAGATTTTAAAGAGGAAAGTGTTAAAAAAAAACTTATTTCTATGTGGATTTATTTGAATAAAGGTAAATTAACCTGTCTAGATAAAGGTTGAATGAAAAAAACTTTTTTTTTTTTAAAGTATAAAAGTGACACAAATGAAAATTATAAGCCGTTAATAATAACTAATAATGCACTGAATGAGCTGAACATTTTTGATATTTGAATAGTTAAAATAGCACAAAGTGTGTAAAAATTGTTACATGTAAAAAAAAAACGTATTGGCAGAAAAGACCAAGAGTAAAGAGAAACAGGATGACTACAGTGTGAATACTGATTCATGTCCCACCTGAGGTTGTGGGAGTGTAGAGGCGTGGACACAGTTCCTTGTCCACAACTTCTTTAACAGTCTTAAAAAGGACAATCACATTATTATTAATTTTTTTACATTATTTAATAACATTAAAATGTTTTCCAGATTACTGCCTACAGCGATGATTTTATTATTTCATTTGGTCAAATCAGATTAAAACAACGTGAGCTCACCAAACCCGGTCGTGTCAGGTCTAAAGATGGAACGCAGAGTTTTGGATCGAAAACATCCTTTGGGGATTTGTTGATGTAGTCCAGCGGGTTGACAGCCCAGAAACCAGACGGGCATGTTTCCACACAGATCTGAGGGCGATGAAACGTTTTTTTTTATTGGACTGGGAGCGGACGTCGCTCAGTAAACAATAAAACCCAGCAGCTTTGTCTACCTGCGTGGTTGGACACTGAAGACCGTTCAGAGCCGACGCCATCACATTCACAGACGTGGCGCATTTCAGAACATCAAAGTAGAACAAGCTGGGTTTGTCTCTGAGACACAAAATACATTTTTATGAAATTACTTAATGCGTGTTGATTTAATGGTACAAATCTGAGAAAGTAAACAAAACGGTTCCATACTTGTTGGGTCCGATGCCACAGAACCATCCAGTTGAGTTTCTTGGATAAAGAACATATCTTGGATCTCCATAAAGCCAGGCTGATGAAAAAATTAACATATTAAACTTAAAAAATAATAATAATTAAAGAATCAACCTTGTTTTAACCCAACAGAAAAACAACAAAGTATGTGTTTTACTGATTTATAAAAATAAAGTATGTGTTTACTTCCCATTCTACAAACATCAGAATATTTAAACTGAGAGAGAAACAATGCCACAAAAATATATTTATGTATTTGAAAACAAAATGTTGCTATTTAGACTAGTTTCAAGTGATCGTGATTAAATAAACAAATTATCTAAAGTTTCTATTCAAGCCACAAAAATGTAAAAACAAATTATTCCAGATCAGCCACAAGGGGGAGCGCTCATGTTTTTTTTAATATACAGCTCCAAATAGTTTTTATTTACTTTTTTATTTTGTTGTTATTTATTCTTAGGTTTTGTTTTGTTATGATGTGTGTTAGAAGTGAATGTGGACTACGACGCTGTAAAATATGCCCAAAATGAAGCAATTTGACCCAAACGATAGAAGAACAACCCGGTAAAGATTAGATTTTATTTACATTTCTGTCACAGATATAAGAAAACGCTTGCTACAAAAAATATACTTTTGTTTTAATGCGTATAACAGAGAACAAAACCTGATCTAATGTTATTTAAGAAAAATAAATTGACAGGACAGGAAAAAAATATATAATTTTAACAACTTAATGGATCTTTTTAAATGACATTCACAAAAAAAAACTTTAAAGTTACAACAGGGTCTTCAGTTACATGAGAAAATGTTAAATTACATCAAAGTATGCCAACGCACTGAAGTTAAAGCAGTTTCCATCATTTCTTCAACCAACAATTAGTTCATGTGGAGGAAATCTAGACAATTTCTCATTTTACTTAAATACTTCAGTCAACCTTTATTTTTGAGTTTCTTCCAGCGGAGTAAATTACAGGTTAATTGGGCCGTACCAATTGTTGGTGCAGATACTGTGACTGTGTTATCAGCAGATTTGTTGACTCTAGATAAGAGAGTGCCCCGAGTGCTGGAATGAATTTGATGACGGGGCAATAATGACCGGATGTTTGAGGTCATATCATGACTGGAAACTTCAATTACTGATAAAAACGGAAACGGAGTTAAAAATAAATAAATGTCAGTGGCTGTAAACTCGTTTTTTAATAAATGACCAAAGAATTTCATGGTCAAGATGACAAGTGACAACACTGAAGCAGCAGTCGGTGTAAACGCCACTAAATACAGACAAAACTGAATTCCAGGAAATTAATATTTAAATAAATAAATAAATAAAATCTCCTCCTTTTCACCTCCTCTGTCCTTTCACACATGAACCAATCAAACCAGTAAAGTCCTGTGACGGTGTGTGCTATGTGTGACGCAGAGGCTGCAGAACCAGTTATACCAGAAATGTATTTCATTTTTTACAATCACAAAGGAACCACGCACACATGGAAAACAATGACTCTTTGTTAGCAATATTGAATTTCACTCACCTAAGATTCCAACCCCTATGTAGCCGAGGATGACGGCCATGAACAGAATACAGCAGATGATATCTGTGCATCCTCTGTGGGAGGACAGGGAAGGCACAGAGTCAGATACAGGGTGAGGGAACAGGCTGAGCTCTGCACCGGAGGACTCCATCAGTTAAGATATTACTGGCACATCCAAAACTTCTGCAGAACAGAAGATTCAGGCTGAAATCAAACACTTTAATAAGGTTGGTTAAACTGTAGTGCAGGACCCCTGAGGGAAACGTATCTGGTGCAAAGGGGAAACATTGTCCTCAGCTCCCAGTATTGTCTGGTGGGCACCAAATAGTTTTCTTGGGTCGAGAATAAACTATTTGAATCCTTCCATCCGTCACATGTTCTGGAGTCGGGTCTTGGGGCAGCAGCTTGAGCAGGGAGGCCCAGACGTCTCTTTCCACAGCAATGTCTTCCAGCTCTTCTGGGAGGACTCCAAGATGATCCAAGGCCAGTTGAGAGACAAGTCTCTCCAGCATGTCCTGGTCTTCCCCGCGGTCTCCTCTTTGAATCGTCACATAGTGGTGGAGGAGTTTGTGAACCTAGATGATCCTAGAGTTATGCTGTTGGGGGGCAATCACCCCTGGAAGGATCTACCAGGACAGAGTGGTCCTAGGTGACAGATCAGACAAAGAGCTATTCACGATACTCCTACGGAAAGAAGGAGCTCAATGTCCCTCGCCTGGATGTTGGGTATTAGTGCCCCACCCTGCATGGAGCCAGGTCTGGGGGAGGGCCTCATCTGCGAGTGCCTGGTGACCAACCACATACCCACGGGGTCCAGTCAGGCTCAGCCTGAATGAGTCTGCCATCCATTTGTGCCCACCACCTGCAGGAGGGGCCATACAGACTGGGTGCAGAGTCATGGGTGAGCCGTGGCAATCTGACATAACTAACTGAAGCTGTTTTGTTTGGTGCGCACTAGATAATTCTTTCAGTAGCCAAATGAGCCAAATGTCTTTAAACTTTATAAAAATATATATCCAACCCTCTGAAAACAATATTCCTGACAATATCATTCAAAAACACAATGAATATAAATTATTTAGACTAACTACAGACAACGTCTGGCAACACGGCTACAATGTCATTATTGGCAAGTCCAAGATCAAAATAAAGCTCAGTTAAACCTCTTACTTCACTTTTCGTACCGAAAAGAGAAGCTGAACTGTACGGTTATTCCAACAAAATGTGTGAGCATCAAACACTTGTTTGGTCCGTATAAGATAATATTAACTGATAGCATCACAAGCTCACCAGGTTTCTATGCACATAAAAAACTATTTCAAACATAAATTATTTCACCAACATCATAGTCAAGAAGAACGTTTCACCTTTTCTTTATGGGTCCATTGAAGGTTGGGTCAAACTGGGCAGGTTCTCCTGGAAGAAGAAAATAATTATTAAACAATCAGTGACATCATTGTTTACAATCAGATTATCAAGAACAACATTGTAGTTTATGATGTCATTATTTTTAGAGCACTCAGCGTTCCACATAAAGAACTGGCTTCATTTATTACTAGTATATAGATATATATATATATACACAATATATTGTTTAGATCGCTCTAGAGTTGGGTGTTAAAGTACTTGAACATATACAGTATATGACTTGTACATGTTCATACCTCCATAACAAAAATACATTAGAAACTACAAGAAAATAGTTTTTGTTTAACTTAAGCAATAACGGTTTTGCTTGTGTCCTCAAAGTTAATAAATGACAACAGGAGAGAATAAGGACAATCTTTCAGTGATGTAAGAGTTTTATATTTTTATGGTTTTGGCCACTGACAGTAACAGTACAACCAACAGAGATGGTTTTACAGAGAAAGAATGTGTCATTGTTGGTTCCTGGAACAGACTGAGGACTGTTGTCCAAAGAAATTAAACCAGAGGGTGTCATTTTTCTGCTTCCATAAAACAGAATCCTATTGTAGTGATTAAAGACAAAAACAACAAAGCTGGAGCGCAGCACCGACACCAGGAACATTATTTGAATAGAATTTGAATTGGGGCTGTGGTTTCCAGAGGGGTGGCCATGAAAATGTGAGGAGTTTGTTTGAGATCTGAGCTGAAAACGCTCCTTGCTTCCCATAACCGTCAGATTTTAGGCTTAACCGTCTTCTGCTGTCTTATCTTGTTCAGCAGGAAAAACCTGATGAGTTCCTGTATGCTAACATCGAATACAGCAATCATATGACTCACGTTCAGTCATAAAATATGTATTTAGGTTATGATGGTGGGAAGGAATGAGGAACAACCTGATAAATTTAAGTTTTTTTAACAATAGAAAACATGTAAATACTCATGTGTTGTTATTGACTGGTCCAGCTGGATGGATGTAGCTCACACACAAAGATGTTTTTTATTTTTTACTTCAGCTTGACAATAATTATCTCCACTGGGAGTCATTTGAATGGGAGTGAATGTACACTGTGCCAACACGGCTGCAGGATGGATGCAAATACTAAAACAGGATGAAGGAAGTTGGAACCAGTCCACGCAGATCCAGACTGAAAAATAAGATTCAGTGATGCAAACAGAAAATACACGTGTTTAGAGTAAAGACAGAAAATGTATATTTCCAAGCAGTACAAGTGACAGAACAGCTGTGCTGCAGCACAGATACAATTCTTGTCACGTTTCACCGAGTCAAACCTTTTAATTGAAACAATAACTGGTGTGTGAACATCAGTGGATAGTCACGTCATTTATAAACAGTTTATGCAAAAAAAAAAAAAAAGTGTTGTGGAAATGTTTAACTTCCTGCATGATTTTCAGATTTCTGCTGAGTTTAGAGTAAACATGACGTCTCGTTGCAACATGTGACACACAAACAAACAGAGTTTTTACAGCCCTGTAAAAACTGGGGAACATTTTTAAACCTATAAACTTTGAACCTCTGACAGACGAGCTGCGGGACATTTTTTTACAGCTTTATTTTGATGAAGTCTGAATGATGGTGAGGCCTGACTGAAGAGGAGGAAGCTGGTGTCTGACAAGTTAAAGAATATATTTAAGCAGAGCAATGATTAACACGATTATCGCAACACATTATCACTACTAGGGGTGTAACAATACATCGATTTACATCGATATATCGTTTAAATGATTAATTATTCAATTATATCATGGCAAAACTAAAATATCGATTCATATCATCATCTTTAAAATACGCTTTTATTTTGAAATTCCCACGGCACGTTTGTGTCACCATTTCCGTGCGCGGCTGCGCTCTGCGGCCGCCTCAGCAACATGGCAGACGAGGCAGAAAACACAGATAATGAAATTCACTCTCCTGCTGGATTTAAATCAACTCTGTGGAAATATTTTAGATTCCAACAGAAGGACGGCTCAACAGACAAAACTCATGTCGTAAGCAACAGGTGCCAGTGTGAGTTAAAATACTCAGGAAACAACAAATTTGGCCGTTCATCTGAAGAAGAAACACGGCATTAACAGCCATGTTATGTAAGATCAATATCTATTTTTGTTTCTTTATAACTGAAAGGTCATCAGGGCACTATGAAGTTAACTGGTTTAAAAAATGTGCTTAAACATGAGAAATGTGAGACTATACTTCACCACTTGCTCTTGCTGAGATCGGACGCTTCTCCCCTCCCTCTCCGCTTTGCTGCTCTGTCTGTCTGTGAAACTGCTTCTGAGCCTCTCTTGCATTTCTTCCGAACCATAATTATGGACTTATTTTGATCAGTTGGTCCCTCAACTCAATTTACAACATTTCTTGAAGAGAAGACAGGCTTTAGGCGAGCCGATTAGCCCTGTTGGCACGCACACAGCTGGATATCTCATCGACTGGAAGACTTGATGATGTGTCTATCTCTGCTGCCATTTGTGGATTTTAAGGACACATATTTAATTGGATTTACGACAACTGGTTCCTGCTTTTTGGATTCGGCTGGTTGCTGGTTTTATCAACAATCAAGGAAGTCGTCGGCAACAAATTTGGACCCGATCATGCTGCTTGCCTTTATGATGGCTTGGTTCGTGTCTCGAGTACCCAGATTCAAATGCTTTGGGCTGAATGGATCAGATCTCGGGGATTTTACTCAGTCACGTTCCATCGGTGTGGCCATGTATTTTGGACATTTCGGAACCAAGTGGACCAACGCAGACGAGGTAGATGTCATTAAGTTCTGCCCGTCCCCAAAATAACTGTGTTTATCTAAATTTGGCTCCCTTGGCTGGCCATGAAGGCCATCTTATCTGAAATCGCCTGGAGAACATGTGATCTGACGCTCACCACCCCCTCCCTGAGGAATTTCCAACTGATAACCAGATGAAACCAGCTGAATAAACTTGTATCATCATTTCAGGACTCTTGGATTCTCATTGACGTTATTCTTGGCCATTCCTCGACATACATCAAGAATGTTTATGGATCTCACCGGAGGATATTGGTTGATTATTACATCCTTATCAGAACTCTTACAGTGACCTCGAGAGCATCTATGAACATGCTCACTGCTCTCGTCTCCGTAAATATGTGCTTGTTTGTGCAAGGTGTTTTTTTAATATTAGAGGGTTTTTTCCCTCAGGCAGGAAAAAAAAAAGTCTGATAGGAATTTTTTCGCCTCCAACTCCTACATGTGTCCCGTTAATCACTGATTTTGTCTGTCCAAACAGGTCTCACTTGTAAATGAGTCTTTGAGGCTCAATGTGATTTATCTGTTTAAATAAAGGTTGAATGAAAAAGAAATACTGAACAGGTCATTTATTTATTTTTTTATTAATTAAGAATTTTTTTTCTGCCTGGTGCCTGTAATAACAGAAATAAAATTGCTAAATCATATTTGAATTGTTTTTGTAAATTTATTTATATGTAAATGAGATGGGCATTTGATTTGCAATATATCGATCGCAGACTTGTGAATCGAATAGAATATCGTATCGTGACAGACTTTGTAATAAAGAAAAATCGTATTGTCATACAAACAAATCAATATAATATCGTATCGTGGTAAAGCTGGTGATTTACACCCCTAAATCACTACGTTTGTTGAGAAAGGATAAAAACGATACATTTATAAAAAATGAGCAGTTTTTGTATATTAAATTGACAGTAGGGGCCTCAGATGTTTGTCAGAATTTTATTTTATTTTTCATTCACCCTTTATTTATCCAGGTAGTCTCATTGAGTCACGAGAACTCATTTTCAAGAGAGACCTGTTTAGGGAGCAGATGGTGGGGGATAAGGGCCTTGCTCAGGGGCCCAGATTGGGGCAAATGAGGGTGGAGGCAGGTGTGGGTGTTCCACCTTTTCCACCCACAATTTGATGTTGACGGTACTGGGAGTTGAACCTGCAACTTTCTGATCACAGGCCCATCTTCTCCAACCTCTGCGCCACCACTCCCCCAATATTTTTGAGGATTGAGAGACAAACGTGTTGAGAACCACCGAAATATCTGACAAAAAGACAGAGCTACAGATCCATTACAGAAAATCTTTCCAGACATAAACGTCTCATTTTATTTTTCACGTCTGACTCCTCTGACTGTAAAATGTTCCATGTTTTACAGTTTAAATCTGATATATGCATAACCTGTGCCACTATGAACAGTGTTGTTCATGTTATTCCACAGGTCTTTATTATTTATTTTGTACTTTTACCGAACTATGTCCAGTTTGTTATAGTACTTTGTCTTTTTATGTATCAAAAAACAAAAACTCCCAGGCTGAAACAAACAAAATCCCTCAAGTGCAATAAAGTGCATGAATCTATTTTTGTGTGTTGTGTATTTAAAACTCCATCATTAACACCACACACTGACATGGAAACTGTTACCACGTCTGCTGCCAGGCTTTGAGAAATATGACTTTACTAAAGTATTTGTAAGAGTTAAAACATGGACGTGGCTCACCGTTCAGACTAAACAGTTAGAATTGAAAATAATAAGTAACGATAAAGATGTACAGTTATGATGATCATTTTTACTCAAATCAATATCGAGCTTATGGCTGGTTTTAATTCACTGTTTATTAGTTTTATAGTACTGGACTGCTACAAAGCAACTTTTGTGCTTTGCTGAGCTAATTTTTACATAATAATAATAATAAAGCTGTTCTGTCAGGACATTAACCAAATACCAAAAATAATAATGTATATTTGTTCTTCTGTCAATTTGACAACAACAACATGTAGGGGATGTATGTTATATTACATAACATCAAGATTAAAAACGGTGTTTTGTTATATCCTGATGCATGCTCAATAATCCAGGTAGAAAAATCTAAAAAAGTTAAATCTGGTCCTCTGGACATTCAAAAAAAGAAACAAAAATAGTAGAAGACTGAGCTGAACACAGCTCCTCAGACTGAAGACGTCTTTTGGATGAAAGACGAAATGTTTCTACAATTCTTTTTTTTTTTTTTTTTATGTCCAGAGGATCAGATTTAACTTTTTTAGATGCGTTTTGTTATTTTTGCTTGTTCACTCTGTGACATCAGAAATCATTTAACAAACCAGCGACGAAGGATTCAGCAGGTCGGGTAAAACCAGTGGAGGCACTTCTTTTAATTATCCCACTGGTGTAAACTGTAGGTGGCTCAGTTGGTAGAGCTGTTGCCTCTCAGTAAGAAGGTTGCTGGATCAAATCCCAGCCCAGGACACACTCTGGGTGGAGTTTGCATGTTCTCTCCGTGCATGCGTGGGTTTTTTCCGGGTACTCCAGTTTCCTCCCACGGACCAAAAACATGCATGTTAGGCTGATAAGTAACTCTAAATTGTCCCTAGGTGTGAGTGGTTGTTTGTCTCTATGTGTCCCTGTGATGGACTTGCGACCTGTCCAGGTGTCCCCCGCCTCTCGCACCGTGACTGCTGGACATGGACACAAGTGACCCCTGCGACCCAACAAGGAAGAAGCGGGTAAAGATAAAGGATGGATGGTGTAAACTGTACTTCTACAGAGCTGTGACAAGGACACGTTTGTTTAGAGTTCTGTTTGTCAAAATAATGTTTTAAATAATTTAACTTTTTTTTTTTAATAAATAAAACTGTTCAGGTGAAAACTTTAGTTCTCTTACCATCAAGCATTTGACATATACTTTGTGTGACCAATTGTTATATTGATGATATACACAATATACACACAGCACTTTAAACTTAAACCCATCTGTGTTGCTTTTATTGTATATTAACTATATTAACAAGCAGATGAAGGAAAATCAGAGTAAATGATTGAATGAAAAAGTTATTTATTTTTTCAGCACTTCCTTTGTCATCATAATGAATGTGGACGTTTTAACCAGCGCTCAGCTTTTCTACTTCCCGATGAGCCGAAGCCCTCTGAACGACCATGAGCTTAAATAGGTGAGCGCTGCTGCGCTGTGGTTCTGGCGCTCTCTTCCATGTTTTCCTAACATATTTGAAGAGACGCGAAACCAGACCGGGCATTTATTTACCTTCAGGGAGGGTTTGTTTACCGAGTGTTTTCTATCATTTCCAGGCTGGAGCCTTTCGGTGTGGAGGTTACATGTTTACCCTGCTGTTTTTAAATCCACACAAAGCCACTCCTGAGTCCTGACATTTATAGTACATAAATAAATAAATAAAGTGTTGACTCACAGCCAGACTGATGCTAAATTCTGGTCCCTACTCAAAGGTTCTTTAATTATCTGGATCTCACTTTTTACACCGATTTTTAATTCAAGTTCGGTTTGAGTCCCATCAGAACCTTTTAGTTCTCAAGTCTTTTTTATTATACTTGTGGTATTTAATGTTTGATCTTTCATTTATTTTATTGCTAAATTTACTGTTTTGTGAAGCACTTCGGTCAACATTGTTTTTAACTGTGTTATATAAATAAAATGAACAATGACACTGGATAAAACAAACCTCTAATGATAAAATATACATATTTAGCTGCAGCCTTGGGATGAATATTCAGCCATTTTCAAAACTTATAAGACAAATCAGCAAGTGTCTTAATTGTAAACTAAAGTATTCAATATTTCTTCAAACGAACAGTTACAGATGCATACAAATGAATAGTTTGCATTTGAAATTATTTCTATCTTAACATGTGATTCTCGACCTGCCATTGTGTATCTGTTCCTCCTTTCTGTCCTCTCAAACCCAGCAGGTCGAAGCAGATGGGCGCTTGTCCTGAGCCTGGTTCTGCTGGAGGTTTCTTCCTCACGAGTGAGTTTTTCCTGTCCACTGTCGCCTTTATGCTTGCTCAGGATGAGTGCCTGCGACAAAGTTAAGACTCAAAGCCGTTTGCTGGCTCCTCAGATAAATAATGTTATTAACTTACTGTTAATGTATGTGAATGTTTCTGTACAGTGTCCTGAGATGACTTCTGTTGCACCTAAACAATTAAACTGGATTTAATTTAATTGTTACTGTTAATCTGCCTCAGCTGAAGCAGATTTCTTTCGTCTTCTCCTGCTCCTTTTAGCTTCTTTCGTGATAGTTTTCACTTTTAGCATTTAAGCTATAGTTTTGCTCATTTTAGCTTTTAGCCATTGTTTTGCTCATTTTTGCTTATAGCTACAGTTTTGCTCATTTTCTCTTTTAGCTCCGAATTTGCTCATTTTAATTTTTAGTTTCTGCTTTACTAAGAGTAGCTATGATTGTGCAACTTTAGCTTTTAGTTTTACTTTTAGCTAACATTTTGCTGCTTTAGCTAAACAATGTGAGCACTGATTTCATTGTATCTAGTGCTTATCTAATTTTGCCTTTTGCTATAGTTAAGTTTAACTTGAACTTTGATTTAAATTTAGCTTTCAGCTAATCTAATGTTTTGCTCATTAAAATCTGACACTAAATTTTTATTAGTTTCTGCTTTCACCTGCAGTGTTGTCTTTACTAAATTCTGTTTAATACTTGTGCTAATTTTAGCTTTCAGCTTGTGTTGCTAATTTTATTTTGTTATACTTGTAGCTTTCAACCATTTGATTCAAATATAATCAATAAAAAAGACGCTAAATTTCAGATCAGAACAAGTTTCACAAATGTGTAAATATGTGAAGCGTAAATATATAAAATAACGTTTTGCCCTAATATGGTGATTTTCCGGTTGCCACACGTTCGCAATTTGCTAAACTTCAAAAATATAATAAAAAAAAATATATATATATATTACTAAAACAAATTACTAACTTTCCTCGTTGTCAAATACTGGACTTTTGAACCGCATTTACATTAAAAATCACCTGGTTTAAAGTAAATTTAACAAGCTAGCGGCAGAAGAAGCGGGTCCTCTGAGAAAACTAACGGGCGACATCAACTCACCGTATTCGGAGTCCGGAGTCTCGTCCTCCCGATTTTTACCCATCACGTTCCCGCCTCAACCTCCACCTGTCCCCGGTGACTCCTAACGACAACCCCGGCTGCTAAAAGTGAACATAAACTGCACAAACAAGTCGCTGAAGTCTGTTGAAAACCTGCTCCACAGCGTCTGTGCCGACACCGTAACTATGAGGGGAAATCTTTTCCTTCTTGTTGAGGTGACGACACGAGCGCGAGCGCACCTGCACAGGGATGTACGCACCCACAGCACGCGCAGACGTGGTCGAACAAAGATTGTTTATGAAAAAGAGGAATCACTCCGCTCATTAAAGAAAAGCCGTGAAATGGTTCTTTCAACCACAGTCTACAGGTCCTTCTCAAAAAATTAGCATATTGTGATAAAGGTCATTATTTTCCATAATGTAAAGATAAAAATGAAACTTTCATATATTTCAGATTCATTGCACACCAACTGAAATGTGTCAGGTTTTTAATTGTTTTAATACTGATGATTATGGCATATAGCTCATGAAAACCCAACATGCCTGTCCCAAAAAATTAGCATATTTCATCCCACCAATGAAAGACAAGTGTTTTTAATACAAAAAACACCAACCTTCAAATAATCATGTTCAGTTATGAACTCAATACTTGGTCGGGAATCCTTTTGCATGAATGACTGCTTCAATGCGGCGTGGCATGGAGGCAATCAGCCTGTGGCACTGCTGAGGTGTTATGGAGGCCCAGGATGCTTCGATAGCGGCCTTAAGCTCACCCAGAGTGTTGGGTCTTGCGTCTCTCAACTTTCTCTTCACAATATCCCACAGGTTCTCTATGGGGTTCAGGTCAGGAGAGTTGGCAGGCCAATTGAGCACAGTAATACCATGGTCAGTAAACCATTTACCAGTGGTTTTGGCACTGTGAGCAGGCGCCAGGTCGTGCTGAAAAATGAAATCTTCATCTCCATAAAGCTTTTCAGCAGATTGAAGCATGAAGTGCTCCAAAATCTCCTGATAGCTAGCTGCATTGACCCTGCGCTTGATAAAACACAGTGGACCAACACCAGCAGCTGACATGGCACCCCAGACCATCACCGACTGTGGGTGCTTCACACTGGACTTCTGGCATTTTGGCATTTCCTTCTCCCCAGTCTTCCTCCAGACTCTGGAACCTTGATTTCCGAATGACATGCAAAATTTGCTTTCATACGAAAAAAGTACTTTGGACCACTGAGCAACAGTCCAGTGCTGCTTCTCTGTAGCCCAGGTCAGGCGCTTCTGCTGCTGTTGCACCTGTAGCCCATTTCCTGCACACGCCTGTGCACGGTGGCTCTGGATGTTTCTACTCCAGACTCAGTCCACTGCTTCCGCAGGTCCCCCAAGGTCTGGAATCGGCCCTTCTCCACAATCCTCCTCAGGGTCCGGTCACCTCTTCTCGTTGTGCAGCGTTTTCTGCCACACTTTTCCCTTCCCACTGAGGTGCCTTGATACAGCACTCTGGGAACAGCCTATTCGTTCAGCAATTTCTTTCTGTGTCTTACCCTCTTGCTTGAGGGTGTCAATGATGGCCTTCTGGACAGCAGTCAGGTCGGCAGTCTTACCCATGATTGTGGTTTTGAGTAATGAACAAGGCTGGGAGTTTTTAAAAGCCTCAGGAATATTTGCAGGTGTTTAGAGTTACGTCGTTGATTCAGATAGTTAGGTTAATAGCTTGTTTAGAGAACCTTTACATGATATGCTAATTTTTTGGGACAGGCATTTTGGGTTTTCATGAGCTGTATGCCATAATCATCAGTATTAAAACAATTAAAGACCTGAAATATTTCAGTTGGTGTGCAATGAATCTGAAATATATGAAAGTTTCATTTTTATCATTACATTATGGAAAATAATGACCTTTATCACAATATGCTAATTTTTTTAGAAGGACCTGTAAGTATATATGCTTTGAACACTCAACCAGAGGCGGTGTTAGGATACTGAAACTTTTTTTTGGGGGGGAAGGGGGGGGGGGTGTTAACCCAGTCCTGAAATGTTGGCATCATTTTTAAATTATTTCTGAGAAAAATTTCTAAAGCTTGATTTTTTTAAACATAAAAAAAAAAACTATTAAGTTTTAATTTCACTTGTTTTCTTTGCTTGCATATAATAATTAAAAAATATATATTATTTTGGCTGCTCCCTTCTTCAAAGGTCACCACAGTGAACTAAGACGCATGAAGACTTGGCAGTTATTTTTACGCCAGATGTCCTTCCTGACGCAACCACAGACCTCCGAGCTACCGCAGCCTTCTGTGTGGAGCAGGGAGCTGCTATCTAGGACACCCGGAGGAGCAGATGGTGGGGGTTAAGGACCTTGCTCAAGGGCCCAGGGTGGGACGAATGAGGGTGGGGGCAGGTGTGGGTGCTTCACCTACCCCACCCACAGTTTTGATGTTGTCGGTACCTGGGCTTGAACAGGAAATCTTCTGATCACAGGTCCACCTTGTCTAGCCTCTGCACCACCACTCCCCTATCCTTAAGATTGATCAGAAAATCATAGTATGTTGATAACATTGAAATATTTTTTTGCCAAGTGTATTATTTCATGAATCTTAAATTATTCTCCTCTTACAGTGTTCTAAACTGCAAGAAAGTATTTTTACTCCTTTAAAATCTGATATCCCTTTATTACTCGTTTAGATCTTCACGTGTCTCCTCTTTCCTGCTCAATAAAAAGATAAATGATAAATTACTCAAAATCAAATTAGATTTTTTGGATCTCAGGCTGAAACTTATCCTAAAAACATGATTTTTGTTCATTTAAATGTTTGCTTAAACTAAAATATTTGTGCACAACTTTTTTTTTTTAATCACATTGTATTTTATTGTATTGTATCCTTGAGTTCAAAGTTCTTTATTGTCATTTGCAACACACGTGGCACATGAGGTGAAAAGAAATTGTGTACTCAAGGTTCCAGTTACACCCAAAAATATTTCAGGTCTCTCTTGTAAATGAGGCTCAGTGGGATTAACTTGTCTAAATAAAGGTTGAATGAATAAGAAGAAACAGTATACAAGTGCCATGAAAGGCACCTTCAAATAAAATGTTTTATTGTTATTACATTCAGCTTCTTCTGCTGTTTTGTTCAGTTTGAGTCAGTTTTTCATTTATTTTAAGCACTTTTTTGAGGGTTATTTGAGAATAGATTAATAAAATCCACCTTTACCTGGTAGTATAGCCCTATATCTCTGACATATCAGAACTTGTTATGACCCTTAAAATGCCCTCAGTGCACCAGAACTTTATACGATTGTTAAAATTAGGAAAATATTGTTGCTAGCTATCAGTGACAGCAGTATCATTTATTTCCTCTCTAACCGATTAAACTGAATGAAAGAGACGTAGAACAACAGATACATCATTTAAAGTGTACTTGCAGATACTTTATATTACATGCTCTATCGAAATAAAATCATGTACTTAAAATTAATATTACTATTTTAATCTCTTTTACTTTCCACCATTTTTGGCTTATACAGATCATAAAGCAATGATTTTTTTTACTTTACTAGTTTTTGGACATTTTTCTTTAGTACAGAAACAAAAAAATAAAACATAAGAAGTGTTCAGTTTGTAACTGTATTCTGATTTCCCTCTCAAAAAGACTGCATTGAGGTTTTGTTATTAAAAAGTTCAAGCATATCTACTGCAGATTAGCCTGAGCCAAATCGAATGTCTGCCAATAAAATGAAAAGTTAAATTGTTCTGTGCATCACTGCCCCATGAGTCCATATTTGTAATAGATAAGAGTAGACAAAATTATCCGTCGACAATAATAAGCAATGTAAATTATATTTACAGCCTTGAAACCTCAAACCAAGCAAACTCCTAACCACTAATAAAATATCCATGTACAGTACGTTTTAATAACTATCGCACATAATACAAAAAAAATGATATATATTTTTTATAAAACAGAAACCAAATATGAACTTATTTGTATTTTATTTCACTACAAGTGACGGAGAAAAAAAAAAAGTATAAAAATGACAACGCAAACATTCAAAAGAACACAATAATTCAGGTTCCTCACGGAGTCTGAGGTGGACTTCAGTGGTCTGAGTTATGGACCACAGAAGGTGCAGGAGGTTGGTGGCACAACACAACACGTTTGAATTTAATAAAAAGTGTTTACATGCGTGACTGATTAGAGAATGTTGAGTCCTGAAGCAGAAGGTTTGTGTCAAAACATGAGCCGTTTGACAGATACACTAAAGTTACAGTATAAACAGAAATCACAAATATGTTATAACCTTTGAACATAAAGGTTGTAGGTTCTGCTATAGTGAATATGATAAAGTGACGATTTCTGAAAAGGATTCAAGTGAAAACTAAAAGCGTAACAGCACCGTGTTTAGCAAACCAGGAACGAAAAACAAACCAAATTCATTCCTAGCATTGAAATGTGTGTAAACCAGGTTCGACCAAAGGCCTTATGGGTAAGTGTTTTAAGAGTTTCCCAGCATGAGCATCCCATAGTCGGTTCCTGATTCTGAGCAGGCGTCCATCCGAGCCAGCCTGCTCTGCTCCATGGCGATGGCCTCGGCAGAGTGTTTACACTTCTCCGATCCGCATTGACAGGTGAAATATTTGCTCTTTATGTCCCAAAACCGGTCTCCATAGTCAAACCTGAGGACAGATGTTTACAGGTTTCAACTTTATATGCTGTAAAAATTAAATTTACACATACAGCTGATTAAAAGGAAAAGGCAGATTAAAGACTAATTAAGAGGAAGATGTAGGAAAAACAAGCATCCTCACCCCAGCTCCTGCCCACTGAGGATGTCCCTGGAGCTGAAGAAGGCGATGCGGGGGAACCGCAGGTCCTGATGCAGCATGAACACACGCACCGGGATGAGGTTTGGGTCACACAGGTGGTTGATGAAGCGGCTGATGTTGCCGTAGTACCGGGCGTCAATGCAGTACACCTCCCCATCCTTCACAGGAAACACACAAAGGACCATTTAAACAAACGGCTCCTGCAGGTAAACACGAGGCAGTTTAGAACGGCTGCAGGGGCCATTATTCACCGTTAGGTCATTCTTTTTCAATCTATCCCTTACCTTGAGATAATAATGAGATTTATTTAATAAGATATAAACTAACAGAAGGACAAATAAATAGTTGGTTGCTGTAGCTGTCATCACAAGGCAGCCATGTTGGATTTTGAGGCAGTTTTTTGTAATTTTCCAAGTCATAATTTTGACTCTGGGGTCAGGGGGCCTTTCAGAACATTTACAAAGAGGTGCTCTATTAACCACGTGGTGCCGCTCCAAAACAAAAACCACTGACAGAAATTCAGGAGTTGTATTATGCTCGGGGTCAGCAGTTTGAGCAGGGAGGCCCAGGCCTCTCTGTCCACCTCTTCCAGCTCTTCAAGGTGTTAATCCAACCGAATCGGACTTTACCAGGCTCTGCACGCTCATGCACTGACTCATATCTCTCCAGTTTTAGCTTCTCTCCACTGCCTCCCCATCAAATCCAGAACTGAATTCAAAATCTTACTTCTAACCTACAAAGCTCTCAACAACCTAGCTCCATCTTATATTACAGGTCTTATAGTTCCATATTTTCCTAACAGAGCACTTCGCTCTCAGACTGCAGGTTTACTCGCGGTTCCTAGAGTTTCCAAAAACAGAATGGGAGGAAGATCTTTCAGTTATCAGGCTCCTCTCTTGTGGAACCAACTTCCAGATTCTGTCCGTGAGGTTGACACATTATCCAGTTTTAAGACTGAGACTTTCCTTTTTGATAAATCCTATAGTTAGGGTCGGCTTGGGTTTCCTGAGCTGTCCCTTAGTTATGCTGCTATAGGCTTAGACTGCTGGAGGACAAACTGACCACACTTTTTTTTCACTCTGCTACTGTCTTTACTTACTCTGCTCAACCCGTTTTGTATTTGTAATTTTTTTTTTCTATCCTTAACATGTGTTTTTTGTCTTTCAGGTACACCTGCACCTACATCTAGACCTACATCTGGACCTACATCTAGACCAACATCTGGACCTGCCATTCTGTGTTCGTCTCTCCTTCCTGTTCCTCTCAACCCCAGCTGGTGAAAGCAGATGGCCGCTTGTCCTGAGCCTGGTTCTGCTGGAGGTTTCTTCCTGTTAAAAGGGAGTTTTTCCTTTCCACTGTTGCCACTGTGCTTGCTCAGGATGGGAGACTGCAACGAAGCCAAGATTCAACTTGTCTGCTGCTTCCTTAGATAGAGAACTTTACTAATTGGCTTTTCTATGTGAATGTTCTTGTAAAGAGCTCTGAGACAGTTTTGTAGTGATTTGGCGCTATATAAATAAACTGAATTGAATTAAACAAATTTTGGCTCAACAAAATGTCTTTTGTCCTGAAAAATCCTTTACCATCATAACTGAGGTCGAGCTGCAGCCATGCTCTAAACTCCTCTATTTACAGCCATGTTAGATGGAGTTTGCATTCACCAGTTTCTTTTCTGCACGTTCCTGAACTTTTCCTGTTTTGCAGCAACGTGCGATCTTCTGACAGTTGAGCACCAACCAGCCAGAAACAACAACGGTTCTGCGTGTTCCTCTGTGCAACACTACAACATCACTCCGATAAACGAGTCTGGCTGAATGGTTTCAAAAATCACTCAGCTTGTTTTTTTTTTAAACAAATTAAAGATATTTAATGCCATAGAGAATCAAAATTAATACTTTTTAATGCCATTACAGCCTTGAATTTTGTTAAATCCATTTAATGCACTCAGCTTCCAGGCATTTTTACATTTTTATATACATTCTAATATTAATTTATTAATATGTTACATGCATTTTATTTATTTATTCAATAATAATCAGCCCTTACTCAGAGCTATTTAACCAATATCTACCAAAACACCAAGTGCAGGTAATGATGGCCATTGCTGCAGTACTTCATATTGTCACAATAACAAATTTTGATGGGCGATTAATTGTCTCAGAAATTATTGCAATAAACGATAATATTGTTTGAAATTTGACAATAATTAGTAATTATTGTCAAATTTAAGAAGAAATGTTGGTTAATTTGTTTTGTGTGTAGTATATTTTTTTGACCACCGAATGACAGTATAATACAGTTTGAACCAAAGGATGGATAGTGAGGGAGCGAGCAGCGTGTCTCTTTAAAAAAAATGGAAGAGAGGCCTCATGACGGGACATGGGCTGTCTCGCTTTCCTTTTTTTTCGGTTGTCAAAATGGTGGATGCTCTGTGCGGTTTGAGCGCTTTAGCAAAGCATTTTTCACACAAAGCTTTTAATAATTTTTTTTTTTTTTTTTTAAATCAGTAAACAAGTTCTCAGCTTCTTTTTGCAGAGAAAAACAACTTTTTACACAAAGGCACGGATTTCAACCATGAGTTTTGGAGCTTTGACAAGACGGCGGTTTTTCCCCGAGGTCGGCCTGTTAGCTTAGCTTCTCAGCTTAGCTGCTTTTAACGATCCAAAAACGTGATTTTAGACGGTTAAATGGATTTTAAAGAGAAAAGAGAAAGGGAGGGGTCAGTGAAGAGCACTGGAGTTGAGCCTTTTGTCATCCAGTGTCTTCAGTAGAAAGAGAGATATGAAGAAACGATGAAGCCGATAAATGAAAATGAGGTCGATAATTTTCATTTATCATGTGATTGATTGATTTATCGTTTATCGTGACAGGCCTACACGTGACCAGTGTTTATGTAACTATGGATCGCTCTGAACACTGTGTACTGCAGGTAAGACATTGACTGCATATAAATACACCACATAACCTATTAATTCTTTAGGGTCAGCTAATTTGAACTTGTTTGTTTTTCTTTATACATCAACTCCAAAAAAGGACTCCTCTCCGTTTGTTTTTTAACCAAAGTTGTCTCATCAGTTTAAAGAGTTTACCTTGTTGTCCAGGTCAAACAGGTAGGAGTCATCTTCCCTAACATCAGCTTCAGCATCAGATATTAGCTCTCCAACATATCTGCACATATATTACAAAAAACATATATATTTTTTTTACTTTTAAATTAAAAATCAGCTGGATGTGTGGCAGCAGTAATCCTCTCATACTCGCAGATGAAGCTTCCCTGGGGAATGTCCTGCATCGCTCGAACTCCCCATCCCATCTTCTCGGTCCTGTAGAGCTGCAGACGAACTCTGAAGGGAAGAAATTTAATTATGAGGGTACAGAGAGTGAAAAACCACAAGCACTGAAGAATCTTAAACCTGAGCAGACGATGTCAGCTGGGGAAAGGTTAGAAATAAAGCCATGTTTAAAATAAACACGTCTGTGGTTTGTCTGGCAGTTGTGTGAGACTTACTTTATTCCTGCCTGCACCACCCTGTTCTTGCATGTTCGATAACAAGAACACGCCATGTTGCATTCGAATATGAGCGGAGGCTCGATTTTGTTGAACTCCTGAAGCAGCCGCTGGTCCTGGTGACAGAAAACAAGGACGTGTTTTTGTTCAAGTCCCTGATAAAAATAAGCACCAGCACCGCATACGTCGACAAACTATTACACGGCAATCTATAGCGACGGCCCGATTATCTCTGAGCTATGAGTTTCTAGCAGCGCTTTTTCTTAAATTGTGACTCTGGAATGATGGAAACAAAAACATTTGTATACTTTTTCATCTCGTGTTTAAGATTAGTTATGTGGCCACATGGAAAATGCAACATTTACCACTTTAACAACACAAAATACCACCCCCATTGTGGTATCTGAGATCCACGTGTTACTACTGCAGGTCACTTCTCATATGACCAAAGTCATATAACGAACGATTACAAATCTACTGAATGACTGAAAATGGAACATACAAGGCAATAAATGTTCATATTTGACTCAGTGATGGCACTCGGTTGTATCAAGTTCCGTGAAATAAATCTGAAGAGTACAGAACTGATTCTGAAAAGCAAAAACAATCTGACCCAGATGTCAGAGTGGGGTTGATGAAGAGGTTGAGACTCCTTCTAGTGGTGATCCATATACGTATCAAGTTTCATCGAAATATCTTGAACAGATCAGAAGTTACGGCCCGGACAAGAAAAGACCTCCGTTTGAAAACTTTAGCCTTGATTTGTGACCTTGACCTTAGAGCGTATCCAGTTTCAATAAATTATCTTGAGCAGATCATAAGTTACGGTCTGCACGAGAGAACGTTTACAGAGACTGTACCAGAAAACGTCCGCCTTTAAATGGGCGTAAAATAATAATGAAAATAAATCAGCTGATTCAGAAGTGTGAAACACAGCTTCTGATTCAATGTTAAAATGTTAAAAGATGTTCTTTAAACAGCGCAAAATGAGTTCAAAACAACATAAATAGGTAGTTTCATTTGATCTCTTCTATAAAATGCTGTCAGTGTCGTTTTACCTTGTCGTACCAGCAGCGGATGCTCAGCTGACCACAGAGACAGTTACTGGATGAGCAGTCGTCACTGCAGTTGCAGTGCTGAAGACAAAAAAAAAAAAAAAAAAAAAATAATAATAATAAATGATGCAATTTTTTCTAAATAAAAACCATAACATTAAAGTTCTTGTTACCACAACATAAACATGTGAAACTAAAAAAAAATCACCTGTAAGTGTGTGAAATTGCGGTCTATGTTCATCGCTGAAGTTTCACAGTTTTCGGAAACGTATTTGTAATCTGAAGGGCAGCCCTCGTCGTCCACGGCGTTCACGCAGGGGATCGGTATGTTCTCGTAGCCCTGCGCGACGTCACTGAAAACACGAACCGCAGCGTTCGATTCTGGTTTTTTGAGGAATAAAAATCAGGAGAAGAAAATGGGAGTCGTGTAAACGTACCTGCAGATGATCCTTTCTGTTCGAATCAGGCGGTTGGTTATTCCTCGTCGCAGCTTCCTGTTGATCTGAAGAGAAACCCACACCGGTGTGTCGGCCCTCGCCAGGGTGAGGGGCGTGTCTCCTTCTCTGTTCACGATGTCAATATCTGCTCCTCTGGACAGAAACAACCTGCAGAAAGAGACGAGACGACCAAACCCTTAAAAACATGAAGGGATTTTCCTGGTGGTACTTTAGATGAAAAACATGCAGGTTAGGATCATTTCTACTTTTCTTTCAGCTGCTCCCTTCTTCAGGGCTCACCACAGTGAACTAAGTCGCACGAAGACGTGACAATTATTTTTACGCCGGATGTCCTTCCTGACACAACCACAGACCACTGAGCTACCACAGCCCTCTGTGCGGAGCAGAGAGCTGCCATCTAGGGCACCCGGGGGAGCAGATGGTGGGGGCTAAGAGCCTTGCTCAAGGGTCCAGAGAGGGGAGAATGACCGTGGAGGCAGGTGTGGGTGCTTCACCTTTCGACCTCGCAGAATATTTGTAAGTTGAATATTCTGAAAAGTCTAAAAGCTACAAAATCCAAATGTCATGGGACATTTTTATTTCTAAATGGTATATGATTGGCTAATATGGCACAAAGTAGATAGAAGTAGACTGCAAAACAAATTATGAAAAACTATTAAAAGAAAACACAAAATATATATACCGTATTTTTTGCCCTATAAGGCACAGTTTTTTGCATAATTTGCATGCCCTGCGACTTATACACCGAAGCAACTTATTTGTTTTTTTCCCCATATTCATAAACCCATTTTTGGCAGAGATATGACCATTTTCATTCATTCTGACATTGAAAGTATCAAACACTACCATTTTCAGTCGCTAGATGGCAGTCGAGAAGTATGGCATACCGTTGTGTCATGGAATATGTAAAAAGTGGCTATTAGTGACACAATTGGCTTGCCATAGCTACCACCGAAGTCCAGCTCCGGGATCATGACAGGAGCAACTAACAAATCAGCTTCATTTTGCTGCATCGCCCCGGTGAAACGCAGCTAATTTAACCATTAAAGTGCATTTATTCAGTAAAGTTCAACTGAGGCACACCTTTACTGTAAAGATGAGCAAACAAATAATTCCAAAAAAGTTCAATCTGGTCCTCTGGACATTCATTTGTTGTCGTTTTTGAATGTCCAGAGGACCAGATTGAACTTTTTTGGATTTTTCTACCTGGATTATTGAGCATGCATCAGGATACAAACAAATAATTGTTTTTAGGTGGTTATCTTGTTAAATTTTTTGAAGAACTGCACAGCGAGTCCTCCCTCTGCGCATTTCTGTTTCTGCGTATCAGCTTTTGAAAATGCAGCTGATTTGACCGTCAAAGTGCATTTATTAAGGAAAAGTTAGACCGAGACACACCTTTACTGTACTGTTGAGCAAACAAATCATTGTTTTTAAGTGTTAATCTTGTTAAATTCTTGTTAAAGTCCTCCTGTGCACGCTCCCACGGCCGCCATTTGGCAGCCAATAGATTTTTGGCACAACACCGGCCCATGTTTCCAGGTTGTCAGCGGTGACGCATAATCGATGCGACGTGTACGGCGCAGCGATGCATTTATGGATTTTTCCACTTTATTAGACATATTTGGACTGATGCGACTTATAGGGCGGTGCGACGTGTACGGAGGAAGATGTGGTATATATATGAAAGAAAAAAAGTGAATGGTGACTGAGCATGAACTCACGTAACGCAGTCTAAGAATCCCTCTCTGGCAGCGATGTGGAGCGGCGTGTCTCCGTGCACGTTAACCGAGGAGAGCGAACAGCCGGAGTTCAACACCATCTCTGCTATGTCCACATTTCCTGCGTACGCCGCCCAGTGGAGACAAACATTCAGCTCCTGCAGAAAAACAGAAGAACTGCTTCACCAACCGCCTCCATCTTTAGACAATTTGTCTTTTGTTTGCTTTGAACCACAAAACTGGGATTCTAGCAGTTTTAACTTTAAGCATGCTCAACGTGTTGCCTTTAAAAGCTTTTCAAGACCGAAACAGGTAAAATAATGCAGGAGCAACTAAAACAACCAGGAACCATTCAGATTTTTTTTTTTCCAGCTAACCATCAGTCATGGCTTCTAAGCGTTTCCACAAACTTCTCAGATGGATTCTTATTCCCTCACAAGAAAAGTCTTTGTGCTGCTTAACGAGAATCTTTATCGTTGTAAATTCAATCCATCAAGTCTGGTTCTGTTGTTATTTCTGAGTCGTAACTCCCCGGTAGGTTGCATAAATGCTGGTTATTGTTTACTTCCTGCACCCCGAAGGATGAAACAAGTGCAAGCTGGTAAAAAAAGTTCTACTGCTGGATGATCAGTGGACACAACAGACTATGATAAAAATAAAATACAACATTATTTTTTGTCTTAGAGACATTTTGTTATGTCAGAAAAATGTTGACGAGCATTGTTTGTACAAATAAAACTAGCATTCATTGAAGGAATGCATATCGCCCGCTGCCTTGTCAGCCAAAGCTTGAAACGAAGATACGACGTGATTTGTTTGCACTTAGAGTATCTGATGGACATGACTCTCAGCTACTACCACCCCAATTTTTAGCTCAATATCTGTAAAAAATAAACCTAAAGATATTTTTATGTTTGCATAAGTAGATTAGCTGGAGCAGCCATCTTGAATTAGGTTAACTCCAAATGTAACTAGAGAAATTGCATTTCCTGCAAAAATGCAATATGAATGCCTAATGCTGAAGAACTTGCTAAGAAACAGCTGAAATTAGTTTAAAAAAAAAAACACATGCTGAAATGATAGAACAAGCCAAAGTTGGCAGAAGAAAGAAAACACATTTGCAGAATTTGGTTTAAATAAGTAGAAAGGCACACAAAAATCAGGAAATTAGCTTAAAAAAAGCCGACATGAGCAAAATGTACCTGAAAAGAAGCTGAAAAGTCAGAAAAAAAATCTTAAATTACCAGAAGAATGTGGAAAGAGCTGAAATGAGCTAAAAAATTGTAGACTTAGCTGAAAATACTAAAATTAGCATAAAACGGTTCAATAGTAGCTGAAATTACTTAAAACGTTGAAAGTAGCAGAAAAAGCTGAAAGGAGCATAACAAGATGAAATTAACATAAATATGTTAACTAGGCAGGCAGCACGGTGGCGCAACTGGTAGAGCTGCTGCCTCTCAGCGAGCAGGTCCCTGGTTCAAACCCCGGTCCGAGGGCCTTTCTGGGTGGAGTTTGCATGTTCTCTCCGTGCATGCGTGGGTTTTCTCCGGGTACTCTGGTTTCCTCCCACAGACCAAAAACATGCATGTTAGGCTGATTGGCAACTCTAAATTGTCCCTAGGTGTGAGTGAGAGAGTGAATGTTTGTTTGTCTCGTTTGTCTCTATGTGGCCCTGTGATGGACTTGCGACCCGTCCAGGGTGTACCCCGCCCCTCGCACAGTGATTGCTGGACATGGGCACCAGCGACCCCCGTGACCCAAAATGGAATAAACGGGTAAAGAAAATGGATGGATGGATGGATGTTAACTAGGCTGAAAGTAGCAGAAATTACAACAAAAACTTGAATTTATCTGAAAACAGCTGAAATTAGCTAAAAAAAAAAAAAGCTAAAAAGCAAGCTGAAAAAGGTAGAACAAGCTTAAACTAGCAGAAGTAAGTAGAGAGAGCATGTTTGCTCAGTTGAAGCAGAAATGAGAACACAAAGTTGATTTTAGCTTAAAAAAGCAGAAATTAGCAAAAAACAGCTGAAAAGTAGCTAAAAATCAGAACGAAGTTTAAATCACCAGAAGTGGAGCGAGCACATTTTTGCTGAATTAGTCATAAAATAGGTTAAATGAGTGCAAAAATTGTGGAATTAGTTGAAAAAGTTAAAATTAGCAAAAAATAGCTAAATTGTAGCTGAAATAGCAGAAAAAGCTGAAACTTGCAGAAATAATCTGAAAGAAGCATAACAAGCTGAAATTAGCAGAAAGAAGTTACAAGAGGCATTAAAATGTTGTAGTTAGCAGAATAAATCTGAAAGGAGCACAAAACAGCTGAAAGTAGCTGGAAAAAAGTTTGCAGAAGGAAGCTGAAAGAAGCTGAAGCAGAACAAAATGTGAAAGGAGCAGTAAAAGGTTGTAAACAGATCTAAAGACTTGAAGGATGTAAAATGAGCTCCATTCATTTTCTATGAGAAAAAAAATGGCAGAAAAGGCTAAATATTTCAAAAAGCTAAAGTTGAACCAAAACCAAAAGTAACAGCAGGATTGTCCTGAAAGAGCTGAACATTTTGATATGATTTGCTGAAATAGCACAAAAATTGTTGAACGAGAAAGATGCAGAAAAACATGCAGAACAGTTTAAGGTAACTATAAGAAGTAGGAATAATAATAAATATAAACAGGATCACAATAGTGTGAATGCTTATTAAGCATCCACACTATCAATTGTAGATGTACCTCCAATGATTACTTCCTGAGAGTTTAAGTAAAAACCATGCAGTGGGTCCTGAGATATTTTGCTAACAGACAGCTTAATGAATGCAGTTACAGTCAACTACTACCTTTCATTGCGGGAAATAAAAATGGCACATTAGCTGTATAAACCTGCCTTATCGTTGATGGTGACGTCAGCTCCTCTGTTCAGCAGCGTCTTGATCACCTCAACATGTTTGTGCTCCGCAGCCCAGATGATCGGCGTCCAGCCGCCGCTGTCCTAAAACAGCCCAAAACAACAGATCTTTAAGGATATTTATTTAAATGGGCTGAAATATTTTGGGATGTCAACCTGAGCTAGTCGGCTTCTTCCACTCTAGGCAGTACAAAACATCTCAAAGGCTGTATTTAAAAATAAATTAACACTAAAACGACTGATTTTGTGAGCAGTTTTGGAAAATGTTGGTGTATTAATCGTTTCTAAAGAGGCTCACCTCTTCATCAAAGAATGCTGCATTTTACTAAATATTTATTTCAAAATGACGAGAAACGAACTTCAACATAAAAATATATATCAGATTCTTTCTTTTATTGCAGCCCTTCTCCCACCTGTGCGTTCACGTCAACCTGCCCGGTCTCCAGAAGCATTTTAACGATCTCCAAGTTTCCAAACTTGGCTGCGTGATGAAGGCCAGTGTACCCATCGTCCTCCTGACAAGAAAAAGACAAACTCAAAACGTTTCGAGACGTCCTCCCGGGTTAACAGGAAGGTTTGCGTTTCAGCTCCACTCACGACATGATAGACGCAGGCGCCGTTCTGGATCAGGTACCGAGCCACGTCGATGTGATTGTTGATGATGGCTTCCAACAGGGGGGTCCTCAGGTCTTTGTCTTTGGCGTCCACATTAGCTCCGGCCTAAAACCAAAACGAAAACTCCATGACGAGGAAATATTCACATGTCCACGTGTGAAGAAGATGCTGGCGGTGGGTTGAGTGTTTTACCTGAACCAGCATGTAGCAGACCTCCAGCAGCCCTCTCTGAGCTGCAGCGTGAAGAGCAGAGCGCCGGTTCTGAGATTCAGGCTGGTATGTTGGATCTATGCCCTCCACTGGAACACAAGGACAATTCAAGTGGACACACTGACTTCCAGCTGAAATGTGGAGCCAGATCAGTCTTGAATCACCCATGAGGGTCTACTCTTGTTGCACAACTAATCCAGACATGCTGATGTAATGCGATAATCAGCTGGTAGACTAAAATAATCTAAAGCGTAGGTTTAAAGGAGCCCAGTTTGTTCAGATCTTTTAAAGTTTAATTCTGAGTTCTATTACCTTACCTGCCGCAGATGTTACTACAACTGAATCTTTATAAAACTTTATTTTACACTCCCGTCAGTCCCATTATGTGCTCATTCCAGCAGAAATATGATCTGGAGGTTCCCCCACACTGCCCTGGAAGTGCTACAGCGGCTCAAAGAGCCATCTACAACAGGTAAGATATTAATTGTTCATAACACGTCTACAAACCTTACTTATAAAGATCTGAACAAATGACTTAAAAGCTCAAAAAAGAAGAAAAAATTTTATGAACTGTAACAGACTGTAATTTGGTAATATTAACAAGACAATAATTGTTAGATTTAATATCCAATAAGTTACAGATGTCCACTCTATGAAAAAACACCTGAGGCGATATTTAACTTTTTGTATACAAACAGGGAATAATAAATTCTGAATGGCATGGAAGTAAATTACTTTATCCCACGACTGACAGAACTCTTAAAATAACTACCTTAGAGAGACGTCCCTTCCAGGACACCGTCCAGAGACTCCAAGGTAATCTGAACTGCTGCTTGGTGCAGGAGCACAAACTGCAGTCCCTCCTGCAGCCTCACATGAAGGATTATTGTGCTGCACTTTTCTTAGACCTGTCTAAAGCCTTTGACACTGTGGATCACAACATCGTGTCATAATCTCTCATAAATTGGTTTCTCAGATCACACCATTGGTTAGTTCTCTAGCTTTCAGATCGGAGGCAATGTGTTCAACATAATGGTATTTCCTCCAGTTTTTTAACAGTCATCAATGGTGTACCACAAGGCTCCGTCTTAGGACCCACCCTCTTTACAATCTACATAGGTAATGTAGGTCAGAACATCCCTGATGCATCCTTATATTTCTATGCTGATGACAAAGTTGTTTATTGTCGAGCTAAAAAAGTTGCTAAGGTTTTCCAGCAAGTCGGTCCCAGCAGTTCTTCCTCTGATTTTATCCTCAAAATGGTGTCCATATTGAATTTGTTGATTCCTATAAATATTTGGGTATCTTGGTCGACTCGCATCTCTCTTTTAAGCTCCACATGGAAAACCTAGTAAAGAAACTGAAAGTCAAACTGGGTTTCTTTTTCAGAAATAGATCCTGTCTAACTCTGAATGCTAGGAAACACCTTGTAAATGTGACTTTTCCTTCCCTCCATTGATTACGGTGACATTATTTACATGAACGCTCCTACAAGCACCCTGTTGGACGCTATCATGGTGCACTAAGATTCATAAGTGGCTGTAACTACCATACCCACCACTGCACCCTGTATTCACTGGTTAACTGGTCATCATTAACTTCACACAGACTCTCACCACTGGTACATTTTCATCTTTAAATCACTTCTTGGTCTGTTGCCTTCATACATCTCCTCATACGTGTCATTTCATGAGCGCAGCTACAGCGTGCGCTCTCAGGACATTATTACCTGCAGTGTTTCCTCAGTGAGGACTGAACTAGGCAAAAGGGCCTTCTCCTACTCCGCTCCTGTTTCCTGGAATATCATACAAAAAGATCTGAAGCTCTCGACCTTGACCTCTCTAAGTGGCTTCAAACATCTGTTAAGTTCCTGGCAGGAACCAATGCAGACGTTCCTGTTTTTAGTTTTCTACACCGCCTTATAATCTAGCTGTTTTTTTTCTTTTCCTTTAAATACCATTTTATTTTCACTTGTTATTCTCAATTTGTACGCATCCTTTATGACTGTCTATTTGTTGTTCAATGTTGTCATCACTCTTTGTTAAATTCAGGTCTCTCTTGTAAACGAGTCCCAGAGGCTCAATGGGATTTACCTGGTAATAAAGGTTGAATGAAAAAGTCTGAAGCAGCAGAAGCAACCCTCTGGTTCACCGGAGAAAACTCCAACACCGAAGCGTTCGGCCAGGGGCTTGTGAGAATCCTCACACCCAGACTACGCCTCGCTCCCTGCGCAACTGGAGAGTCAAGCTTTTCTCCAGGAGTTGGGCTGCAGAGCTGTGCATCAAGGTGAGCTCAACCTCACACCCGAGCTCCGGCTCCTTAACCATGAGGTGACATTCCACGTCCCTAGAGCTAGTTTACGCTGCCAAGATGTGGCATGGCCAGGGACCCTCCCTTGCGTGACGCCCGGCTTGCATTGCGCCTGACCTTGACTATCCTCGCAGGTGGAGGGTCCACGTGGAGGTGACATCCTGTTCCTGATGGATACGTTTCATTCATGAAGAGTTTTGGATCACTCCAAGTCTAACTCCTTCTCTGAGGCATGTCTGCCATGAGAAACATGAGAAACATGAGAAACATGAGAAACGTGGCAGACTGGATCACAGTGATATTTAAAACCCTCCACCATGTTAAGGTGGAGATTCTGGGGAGAATCTTTTTTATTACAGTACAAGTTTTATATGGACTACTTTTAATCTCAAAATGATAGAGCAAAAAAATAACCTCCAATATTCCGTTTTTGTGACGTTTATAACCTCACGCAACACGATCTTTATTTTAAAACACGGACAAGACAAACGGTGTGATGAGTGCAGTTCATGACGTTTGTTGCCACTCACTCAGCATCAGCAGCACTCGCTGAACCTCTCCTTGCTTGGTGGCAGGATAGAGCTGTCGAGGGTGGAACCTCAGCTTCTTCCTCCTGGTTAATCAAAAGCAACAATTTGCTCAAAGATAGTCAGAATATGTTGTTCTAACAAGAGTTATCATAAGTGTTTTTCTATTATAGAAATAGATTTGCATCCAGTGTCAAAGATAAATCTGAGTGGAGCATCTTTATATAAAATATAAAAAAAATTTAAGCATCCCTTTTTTTTTAATCTCCTGATCAGCATTTAAGCAAAGCGTAAATCTGAGTCTGCTCCCTGACCTCTCCGTCTCCTGCGTCAGAATGGCTTTCTGCAGCGCCGCCCTGCTGGGTCCGGGTGGAAGTGTGCTGGGACTGACTGGTTTCCCGTTTGGCATGCAGACCGATGGTCCCACGCTGTCCACTCCCTCCTCTGCTGGAGGGACTGCGGCTACGGTGACCGCTGAGGCTACGGGCTGTGGAGTCTGCTGCTGCTGCTCCACCGCCGGAGTTACCAAACCATGGCTGCGCATCCGAGCACTGAAAAGACGGCGAACGACAGAAGCTTCTTTAAATCATCATCGCTACAAACAGACAAATGATGCGTTTAAGATTTGACCAAGGTAGGTATCTTCCACCTGACGGGTCTTTCAGGCATCTTCCCATCCTTCATCCCTCCCGTTGAGGCCGTGAGAGAAGGAGCCGCGGGGACAGACGGGGGCAGAGAGGGAGTCGTCGTGGAGGAAGCAAACATGGTGACGACAGTGGCCGCGGAGGACGAGGCAGAGGAGGGGATGGCGATCTCCTGGGCCTCCGACGCATCTTCGCCGCAGTGAGGACAGAAAAGCATGCCGCCGCCGCTCGCCCTGCTGCGCCCGCCGCTCAGCACCGTCACGCAACCGCGGTGGAAACGGTGAGTGATGCGCTGGTCTGGGCAGCACTCAAGAAAAGTGCCCTGAAAGAGGAACAAACGAGATGTGAAAGACCAAGAAACAAGATAAGAACAAGGAGAAACTTTGGTTTCAAAAAAGGAAAAGTAATAAAGACAATCGGCAGCACGGTGGCTCAGTTGGTAGAGCTGTCGCCTCTCAGAGACAAGGTTGTCAGTTCAAATCCTGGCTGGGGACCTTTCTGAGTGGAGTTTGCATGTTCTCTCCGTGCATGTGTGGGTTTTCTCCTCTGGTTTCCTCCCACAGACCAAAAACATGCATGTTAGACTGATTGGTAACTCTAAATTGTCCCTAGGTGTGAACAGTTGTTCGTTTGTCTCTATGTGTCCCTGTGATGGACTGGAGACCTGTCCAGGGTGTCCCCCGCCCCTCCTACTGTGATTGCTGGATATGGACACCAGTGACCCAGAGAGGAAGAAGCAGGTAAAGATAAAGGATGGATAATAAAAACGTTCTCACTTACTGCTATGCAGAAGTATCCACACCCGGGACAGCAGTGGTGTTTGACCATGTGAGAGCGATGGACGTCGCAGAGAACCATGAGGGGAATCCGACTGGACGGCCGCATTGTTTCTCCTTTACTGGTCCAGCTGGTGCAGGATCGCAGCTAACGGACGCCGCAGGAGAGAAAAATGTGGGTTTGAATCTTTTCAACACGTTCTAAAGCTAAAAACAGTTTTGTTTATCATCTTTTTCATGACTGAACAAGTTTTCTGAAGTACGTAAACATGCTCAGTTAGTTCAGTGTTTGCATTTTCCAACGGCTTAAATAAAAAAATTAAAATAAAAAAAGAGTAGCTTTAATAAGAATATTAAATCACTTTGATTTGGAAGGTAATAGACAATATTTGCGGTTTGTGTTGTTTCCTGTAATAAATGTTTAAAGGCTTCATTTTAAATTATTTAAAGCATACTTTATCTTCTGCATACTTTGTGCTATTTCAGCCTTTTATAAATCAAAACATTCGGCTCATTCAGGAGATGGAAGCTCTGTGACTTTTAGTTTGATCAACTTTTATACTTTTCAAAATAATTAACAATAGTTACAGACATTTTACCCAAAGAAATACATTGAGAGCTCTTCAAATCTTTTGAAAAATAATACTCTTTAAAATCTGTATTTTTGTTGATGATATTTTCAGTTTAAAGCTACATATTTGATTGTTTTAGCTTCTAGTTAACATATTGATACTTCTGGATTTTAGCTACCATTCTGCTGCTTTTAACTCGTCTTTGCTACTATTAGGTTTTAGCTACCCCTTTTGATACTTTGAATTTTAGCTAACATTCTGTTCCTTTTTCTTAACTATCTACCACTTTTTGTTTTTAGGTATCCTTTTGCTATTTAATAGCTTCTAGCTAGCATTTTGTACTTTAACATTTTAGTTACCATTCCACTCCTTTTGACAAATATTCTGGCACATAAAACGTTTTAGCTACCGTTTGATTCTAGTAGCTTCTAACTAGCATTTGCTATTACTCTAGTAATTAAAACGTTTTAGCTAACCTTTTGATACTTACCATTATGTTCCTTTTTCGCTAGCTTTAGCTACTATTCTGCTACTATTCTGCCACTTTTAGTTTTTAGGTATCCTTTTGCTATTTAAAGTTTCTACCTAGCATTTTCATATTTTACATTTTTAGCTACCATTCCACTCCTTTTTGTTACTATTCTGGTACTTAAAACGTTTTAGCTAACATTTTGATACTAGTAGCTTTTAGCTAGCATTTTGACCATTTAAGTATCGGGTTAGTATTGTGATAATTTTGGCTACCAACTAGCATTTTGCTCCTTTTGTCTTTTAGCTGGTGCTCAGCGTCTTTGGCTCATTCAGCGCTCAGCATTTTGTAACTGTGTACAAGCTGACGTAACGCTGCTTTTACTTTTCCAGTGTATTCTAGTTCTCATCGCTGGTTTTAAAAAACACATTTAAGTGAAAAATTATCCTAAATCAAACGTTTTGTTTCTTCCACAAAGATGAGCTTTAATCCCACATGACAGTAAATATTAAACCAAACAATCAAACTCAATATTATGTGATCTACAGGTGATCTACAGGTGATCTAGAGGTGGACGCACCTCTCCGTTGATGCTCTCCGTAGCCATGCACTGTCTGCTGACCCGCTGGCTGGTGCTGTCCACACGAGGGGCCTCCATCCTGCAGCTGCACAGAGGAAGCTCCTCCAGATGTTCCATGTCGCCTGCGTCACTTCCCTCTGCAGAGAGGAGGACACCGAGGAGGCGCTTCGCTTTAAATAAGACTGAGCTCGCTGACCCCGAATATACGAATCGTTTAAATCTAAACTCAACAAGTGTACTCGCTCTTACGTTTAATTTATAATAATTGTCATTTAAATTATTTTACAAGGCAAAGTAATTTGAAAAACAAGCAGATACTTTTGAATGATTGTTGCATTAAGTGTTATATTCATTTAATTTATCAGAACTTTGTTTTCTGGTTTCACTCAAACAAACAAAAACTGTATTTTTGTGCAGATTGAAAATTAACTCTTGCTGCAGGTTAATTTATGTTCTGACAAAAGTTTAAAATGTTTTTAAAGGTGGCGACGCGGTGTGTGACGTGTGAGCCGTTCCCATTTCATTAATCAGGTTGGCACCTGAGCTTCAAATTCAGCACCAAACCCAACAATTATCAGCCGAAACTAAAAATATTCACATCTGAGAGACGAAGCCAAAGTAAAACTTGTTGCTTTTTTATGAACCTGAATGATCAAATTAAAAACCTGTTTAAGAAACCGATTGTCCCCGTGACCCAAAACGGAAGAAGCGGATAAAAGATAATGGATGGATGGATGGATGGATGGACGGACGGTCGGAAACTGATTGCTTTGTTGCTCAAAGTGCCTGGTAAAGCTTTCACAGCAACTTCAGGTGTTTTAAGTAAAAACAACAAAAAGGTTTCAGTAACTGGAGACGAACTCACCAGCTGGAGGAGAAAGAGTCAGGCTGTCGGCAGCAGCGATGTCCAGGTCACCCAAAGGCACCTCTGTGTACTCTCCAGACCTTTCTGCTGAAAACAAAACCTTTATGAGCATTTAAAACAAGAAAAATCCTCCTGAAACACAAAACAAGCTCAAACCGTCCATACGAGCTCCTCACAGCTTTAACACCGGGAGGAGGGAAATGAGAAAACTTGAATACTTCAGAGTACACACAACATATACTTGAAGTGCGTTTTCTCTTCATGTGACAGCCCTGAAGTGGAGTTTACCAACTTAAAAAGCACAAAGCTCAGGCTACACATCCGTTAAACACAGCTGATCTGCATCAAGCTAATTTAGCTGTAAAAAGAGAAAAGTTTACAGAATATTTGGAGTTATATTTCATTTTTATTAATAAAAAAACAACATGAAAAAGGCAGTATGTCTTCAAAAAAATTGATTTATTAAAAAAAAAAAAAAGGTCCATAGCTACAGATAATCTCACTCACCTTCCTCTGTTTCCACCAAACTGTGTGCATTTCTGTTTGTGTTCTGATCCGACGGAGCCCACGAAGACTCTCCGCTCTCGTTTCTACTCCGGACGACTCTCGGAGTTTCCGACTCTGAACTCTGCGAGGAGGACATTTTACATTTATGTCAAAACTGTTGCAACATAATCAGCAAAACAGAGCTTTGAAATTATTAATTGGAGAAATTGCATTTCCTGCGAAAATGCAGTGTGAATGCTTATTGCTGAAAAACAGCTGAAATTAGCTAAAAACATGCTGAAATGGAAGAACAAGCCTAAGTTAGCAGAAGAAAGCAGAAAGAACATATATTTGCTGAATTAGATTTACGGTAAATAAGCAGAAATTAGCACAAAAATTAGGAAATTAGCTAAAAAAAACTGAAATTAGCAACAACAACAAAAAAAGCTGAAAAGTAGCTGAAAAGGCAAAAAGAGGGTTAAACTACCAGAAGGGAGCGGAAGGAGCTGAAATGAGCTAAAAAAAAATGCGGAAGTAGTTGTAAAAAGCAAAATTTAGCATAAAAAGTAGCTGAAATAATAGAAAAAGCTGAAACTAGCAGAAAAAAGCTGAAAGGAGCATAACAAGCTGAAATTAGCAGAAATAAGTTAATTAGGCTAAAAGTAGAAGAAATTACCACAAAAAACTTGAATTTATCTAAAAACAGCTGAAATTAGCTAAAAAAAAATACTAAAAAAATAGTTGGAAGAGCTGAAATTAGCAAGAAAAAGCAGGAAAAACACATTTGCTTGAAGAAGCAGAAATGAGCACAAAAAAGTGAAAATTATCTGAAAAAAGCTGAAATCAGCACCAAAAAAAGGTGGCTGCAAAGTAGCTAAAAAAGCAGAAAGAAGCTAAAATTACAAGAAGGAAGTGGAGAGAGCACATGAAAAAAAGTTGAAATGAGATCAAAAAATGTGGAATTATCTGAAAAGGCTTAAATAGGTAGCTTAAAAAAAGGCATGAAAGCAGCTGAAAGTAGCTGAAATAGTAGAAAAAGCTGAAACTTGCAGAAATAAGCTGAAAGGAGCATAACAAGATGAAAGTAGCAGAAAAAATGTTAGAAGAAAAACAAAAATGTTGTACTTAGCAGAAAGAAGCAGAAAGGAGCACAAAACAGCTGAAATTAGCTGAAAGTAGCTGAAGATTTTTTTTTTTTTTTTGCACAAGGAAGCTGAAAGAAGCTGAAGCAGAACAAAATGTGAAAGGAGCAGTAAAAGGTTGAAACAGATCTAAATATTTGAAGGATGTAAAATGAGCTCAATTCATTTTCTATGAGGAAAAAATGGCTGTAAAGGCTAAATATTTCAAAAAGCTAAAGTTGCACCAATACCAAAAGTCACAGCAGGATTGTCCTGAAAGAGCTGAACGTTTTGATTTATGATTTGCTGAAATAGTTTGAAAACTGTGGGACGAGAATCGTGCTGAAAAACTGTACGGAAGAACAACGGATCACAGTAGAGTGAATGCTTCATGAACATTCACACCTTGACAAACGTGATCTTCTCTGTTTGTAGTTTGCTGACTTTTGTCTCGCCCATTTTCCAGCTAAAACAAACATTTCCCTTTTATATTTAAGCAAAGTTTATCCATGAAGTGTGCAGTTATGTCAGTAAAATATGATCATTTTGAAAAAAGCTTTGCACCTTTTCAGAATGACTCGTGGTCGGACTGGATATTTGGATTATTTTGCCTCCATCGTCCTCTGACCAACAGCTTTTATCCTTCAGATAAGAAAAGTGCAACAAGATTAACACAAGACAACGATAATAGTTTAATCTTTCCTGGGAAATTTTATGTAAATGATCTCCTTACCACAGACTGAGTCTTCTCTGAACTGTCTTTAACTCTCCCAGGTTCACTCTCTGATAAAAGGCTCAGTTTTCTTTTCTTAGCAACTGTTGGATTCACAGAAAGATTAAACAGAGACAACATGAATTTATACGAGAAACACAATCCAGCTGTTGTACATCTGACATTCAGTTTTTGGTATGACAACATTTTTCAGTAAAAACAGATTAATTGACTCGACCACAAGCTTTAAACTGGACTTGAAATTAAAAAATATATACTTTTAAGAACTCGACACAAAGCTGCTAGAAGTCAGAGTCCAGTTTGTTTCCTCCACAGTTCCCAAAACGGGATTGTTTTTATCACAGGTGACAGGAGTTCATGTATTTTCCTGTGACTGTGTTTGCTAGTTTGTCTGTCTGTTAGCAAAATGTCTCAGGGACTACTGGATTTTTCATTTCGAGTTGCAACAAAGTTTGAGAGGTCTGACTGCAGACAGGACGGTTCAGCACCAGGGTTCTTCATATATGAAGCTAACAACGGACGCTGTGTGTGCTGAAATATGCAAGGCCTTCCCTGAAAAAGACGTCACCTGGATGGGAGCAGATGTTCTAAAACCTGTAGATACTTTTCTGCATTGACGGTGCCTTCCCAGATGTGCGAGCTGCCCCTGCCTGAACTAGTCAAGTCAAGTCAATTTTATTTATAAAGCACATTTAAAAACAGCAGCTGTTACCAAAGTGCTTAACAACAAGAATCAAGGCAGTAATTAAAGAAAAATAATAAGATGTAATTAAAACCGTCAAAATAAAAACAGAGAAACAGAGAAACACAAAAACAACGAGAAACAATGAAACACCAAATCAAATCACACCGAGTTAAACGTCAGTGAAAGCAGGTGTGTTTTTAGGAGAGATTTAAAACTAATGCACCCCCATACCATCAGAGAGGCAAACTTTTGAACTACGTGCTGAGAACAGACTAGATCAGGGCTATTCAAGTGGCAGTGACTTCGATCTGGCCTACTTCATAATATTATATATATATATATATATATACACACTTTTTTTTTGGAGGGGTGGGGGGTCTGGGTTTGCGTTCTGTTTATTGCATTTATGATTCATTGCAATAAAATAAACTAATTTAAAAGGTAACAGATCATTGTAAACGTTGGTTTAGTCACATAATGATTTTAATGGCTGGCTGTCCGGCCCCCGAGCTGCTGGCTTTCAGAAACTGTGGCCCCCTGAGCAGATTAGTTGAATAGCCCTGGACCAGATGGTCCCTCTTCTCTTTAATACAGACAATTTAGTTTCCAAAAACCTTTCAGTCTTTGATTGTTCTGACCACAGAACAGTTTCTGCCTCAGTCCATGCACGGAGAAAACGGCTGCGTTTCTGATTGGTTTCACATTTGGCTTCTTTTGTTGTATGATAGAGCTTTAACCAACCTTTGTGTACAGCACAGTGAACTGCGTTTACAGGCAGTGATTTGTAGAAGAGTTTTTCTCCTTTGAGTTCAGAGATTTCTACAGCTCCTTCAAAACTTTTGATATTATGAACTGTAGACGACGAGACGTTACTGTTATTCTTTTACATTTTATTGTTGGATGTAACTGGGACTCCGTGTACATAATTTCGTTCCACCACATGTATCACATGCGGTGCGAATAACAATAAAGAATCTCTGAATCTCTCTGAATTTGGTGTTCCCGTTTTCCAACGAGGAACACCGTCATATTAACTATTTTTAGACAGTTTTTCACAGACTGGTGAACCCCTGTCCATCTTTACTTCTTGGATTCAGCTTCTAAAATAGTCTTTTCATGTCAAGTCCTCTTACTGACCTGTTGCCAATTACCGTAATTTCTAGACTATTGAGTGCGCTTGAATATAAACCACGCCCACTAAATGGCCTCCCCTCCCCGTTTCATTGGTCTACTGTGACCTTTGCGGTAATTTAGTTTGTCAATTTTATTTTTTACTTTTATTTATACAGGTCAGGCAGTCTTTTTGAGTCACGAGGTTCCACCCCCAAGAGAGATGTGTATTGGGTAGTTAGTGAGCACAAGGGTGTGACAAGGCTAAATGTTTTGGCAGCATGAAACTCGTTAGCCCGTGTAAAATTAATAAATCCATAAATTAGTCACAGCATTGTAGAAGCCATGGTGTTTGTTCAAAGCGTGTGGAAAAAAGTAGCGGCTTATAGCCCAGAAATTATGGTAACTTATTTTGTTATAAAATGCACCTCCAGCTGTTTCTTATTGACACCATTTACTTTTACCGCTTTAGTTGCCCGTGGCACAACTTTTTCAAATGTACTGCTACCATAAAATTCAAAATAATCTTAATTTTTTTCACCTAAATGCTAGATTTTTTTAAGTTTAAACATTTAGGGGCTGAGATGGTATAGGGGCAGGGTAGCCGACTCAGGACCCAAAGGTCCTGTGTTCGATCCCCAGTCACTGCACATCTCGTGGGGTCTCTGAGCAGGACACCCAATCAGGAATTGCTCCTCGGGCAGCTTACATAGCTGCCCACTGCTCCACCCAGGTGCATCTCAGGTGTGATGGGTTAAATGCAGAGAGCCAATTTAGTCTTTGTATGGGAACATACAATGATGACAACACATGACACTTTATTATTTTATTATGAAAAAAAAAGTTTTAATTTTTCCTTTTTCCATTCAATTCGAATTGTTTTTCTTTAAGTATTTTTGTGGATGGGAGCATCAAGTTTAAAATTCTAGCAGTGTGACAACCTGAAGAGCAAATCTTAGTAAGTGGGAGTTTTGTAACTAACCAGTATCAGCATCAGAGGAGAGGCAGGTGGAGGATTCTGACGCCGCAGGAGCTTCAGTGTGGCTCATCTGTTTAACAAAAACAACAAAAGACGCAAAAACAATCACGAAAAGTGAAAAATCAGACACATCAAACTGTCGTCAGATTAACCAACTCCTCACTTGGCCTATCGAAGGTCTGTTCATGGTCTTGCGGGCCCGGTGGATCTTATGTGGGCCGGGGGAGACGGAAGGAGATGGAGAAACTGTGGTAGAGGAAGATGAGGAGGATGAAGGAGGAGGTGAGTGGATGGATTTATTGGCAGAAGGTCCAGAAACACTCATCTTTGCCCGACCAGGCGATAAATTCGAGGACGTAGAGGGAGACGAAGACATTGAGGAAATGGACTTTGCTGCATGACCTGTTAATAAAAAAAAGAGCAGTTGCTAAAAATGACACTAATTCTTAAAATTATTATTATATTATTATCAGTAATAAGTTAGTGATGTCTGTTTGTACATTTTCATGTGACTTGCTCTAATCTTAAGTAAAGTTTGAATAGATTTAAAATCTAGATTAAATCAGTAACTGGGTCAGAGAAGAAGTTTTACCTGCAGCAGGTTTATTTAGCGGGGAAGACTCGGGGGACTGTTTCTCTGCATCCTCAGCAGCCTCGCTCTCTGGCTGCAACTCTGTCGGCTCGCCGCCTTCAGGCTCCGATTTGTTGGCTGCAGCAGACGTGATGAAGGCTGCATCATCTGGCAAACAACCAAAGCAGAGATTTACATCAGTGAAATTAGGGAGGAGACACAAAGGGACACAGGAGTTCGCTTAATCTGCGAACAGGAAATGTTGACGTCACTCTGCAGCTGTAAACTCACCTTTCTTTACTTCTCCTGGTCCTGGTGATGAATCCGTTGGTGTTTTTGTGTCATCTTTTTCAGGAAGCTCCTAACAGAAAGCAATATTGGATCTATTTTTAACTTGTATTACTAGCTAAAAAAAAATGTATTTTGTCTCCTAAATTTTCAATTTCTTGAAAAAAAAACTGTAGATATTTGAGCTAACTCTAATCAATAAGTAGAAATTGACATAAAAGGACATTTTCCCTCATTTGCACCATTTTCCTTTTCTATTGCACCTATATCATGTTCATTAAATGTGTTAAACAAAAACTACAGCTTAACCAAAAGTACATTTTAGTTTTGCTCTAAGACAATCAAAAATCAGCTTCTAATTACTTGAAGAAAATTATTTGTTTCATCAATGAGGATAACAGCTTTTAATTTTAATGAGTTTATGTTTTATATAACATGAGGATGACGAGTTGCAACAACATTTAATTTCCCTCTGGGATTAATAAAGTATTTTTGAATTTAACTGAATTGAATAAAGAGTTCTTCGGCTACCAAATAGTGGCGCAGAGGTTAGAGAGGTGGGCTTGTGATCCGAAGATCGCCGGTTCACGCCCCGGCCCCGACAACATCAAAATTGTGGGTGGGGTAGGTGAAACACCCACACTTGCCCCCACCCTCATTCGCCCCACTCTGGGCCCATGAGCAAGGCCCTTAACCCCCACCATGTGCTCCCTAAAAAAACAGGTCTCTCTTGCAAATGAGTTCTCGTGGCTCAATGAGACTAACCTGGATAAAAAAAGGCAAAATAAAAAAAAAAAAAAAAAAATTTGGCTTTTAATTTGTCTTTAGTTGTGGTGAAGTGTTCTTCTTCATCATCATCATCTTCTTCTTTCAGCTTTTTTCTTTTCAGGCGTTGCCACAGCAAGTCTTCCTGCTCCATCTCACTCTGTCCTCACTCCAACTACCTCCACGTCCTCTCTAACTTCTTCTCCATCTTGTCTCTCTCCTTCCAATCCACCCACTGTCCCTGCTCTCGACATGTCCAAATGTCCAACGTTCTCAGTCTGGCCTCTCTAACTTCATCTGTGGTGAAGTGCTCATTGTGCTTTGGAAATAAAAGCGTGAGATAACCCTTAGGATACACATTACATACAAATAACACATTTATAACAAAGCATAGTTAGCAAAGGGTCTGAACATTTTATTTTACTGAGCTATCTTTTTACTTCCAAAACTTGAATACTAGTTGTACAGCTAAAAAATATGTTGCATTTAGAGAAAAGTCTACTGATTTATTCTACCTTAAAGAACAGCCCCTAAATGTTAAGTTAATCTATACCAGATAAATAATAATCTATAAAATAAAATGTAATCTATACCAGATAAAGCTCATTTAAATACCTTTTTTCCTACTGGTAAAAATAAATAAAAAACAAGTCTATCAAAGCATAAAAGACCTTCAAAGGTTTTCCAAAGCGACTTTTCAAGACAAAAAAGCAATTTAAAGCAGGTAGAAAAGCGCAAGTGATAAAAAAATAAACATCCTTAACAATAATACAACAATTCGTTAGATAACACCAAGGCTAACAATGCTAGCACAGCTTGTACGTATTATAACCGGTAAATTGAGACATATACTTAGTACAAATGGCAGCATCATTGGAATGCGTTTGCTTAATAAATTGAGCATCTACAGGATGATAAACGAACAATATTTTCGTTAAAAAGCCTTTTAGAGCTGCAGAAGGTTTGCTACCTTTGTCGTTGTCTGGGAAGCCGACATGTTTCCCAGTGAACGTCGGCAGAAGTTTGAACGTGCTGCGTCACCGCTCAAGCCCCGCCCCTTGCCGAGCCCATTGATTTCGTATCGCTGATCAGAAGTCAGCTGGCGTGCTCTTAATTTACGGTTTTCCGAGGGAGGAGGCTTTACATACAAACTGATTCAAAGTCAGATTGTTGGCGGTTCACAAGCGGGTTGTAGTTTGTTGTCACGAGACGCACTTCCGGCTAAAAAACAGGGGGCCGAAAAGTAAACATAAATCGAGGTTGTGGCTACCAGTGTGCGTGTGAAATGTGCAGATTTTGTTGGTCGGCAAACGTCTTTTAGCGGCTTGTACCGTTTACAGAACTGCTCGTTTACTAAAGAAAAGACACGCCGAGGTGAGTCCCAACAAAAGTTTGTGGACATTTGTGGAGCTTCCTTTGGTTTTTAGTTGATAAAACACAAAAAAAGCTAACAGTTTTATAGTAGCTAGGTAGCTAACACAGGTGGCTTAGCTAGCTGGGCTACAACAGGAGGAGTTTAAGAATGGGAGATGTTGCCTTTTAATTCAACCTTTAGGGGCGGTAAATTTAACCAACAAAAATCATAAATTACGTCTCAGGTTCCAGCATTAAACGTGGCATTTTACAACTGTTTTTGCGACTAAAACGTGGAGGTGAGCCTTACTTTTCGTCCTTCCTCTTTTCAAAGCTTTGATTAGCCTTTAGCCTTGTGGACACAACACTGACTGGACTGTACCCTAAAATATGTTTAACTGTTTAATAAAATGTTATTAGAATGAGTATCTCACTTTATGTTTAATCTGATCTGAAGTAAACACAATGCATTTGATGTGGTCAGCATATCAGATTTTCTTTTTTTACTTTAGCCATAACTCTTTGTTGTACTACCAGTTTTCACTATTATTTGAACACACTTTAAATGAGTTTCAATTCACTTTATACAGGTAAATTATTAATATTTTAGATCTTTGTTTGCACGTAACACTTTCAAGATTAATTTATTCTATGATTATAATTATTTTTGCCGATGAACAGGTTTTTCTTTGTCTTTAAATTATCAGAAGAGTGACTCCATGTTAGATGAGATTTTACACAACCTAGATTTTGTATCAGAAGATGATGTAAAATGGGAAATCCCAACATTTCAAAGTCTAAATCATAATAAAAACATTTACAAATTTGTGACAACTGTATCTGAAAAATGATAGTGGTGAGGTTTAGTTGAGCTGCCATACATTGTTGAGATCCTTGTGAAATGCTGCACATAGAAGAAGTAATAACAGTGTAATATTGAGCATTTGTGGAGCCAAAACGTAATGTATCATCTACTTCACCCTGTTTTTTATGTGTGTCTTTTTATAGAAGATGGAGATCGTGTGTTTCCGGTTACCAGGACACGGGGACACGACCCTAAAGCACATGAACTCGCTCAGGTCTCGCCAGCATTTCTGTGACATCACCATTGTGGCCAGCAACAACCAGACATTCAAGGGACACAAGGTGGTACTAGCCGCCTGTTCGCCTTTCTTAAGGGATCAGTTCCTCCTCAACCCGTCACCCAGGCTTCAGGTAGAGGAACTTAAACCTGCACACTCCCGCATCGTGATTATATGTCGGTCTAGTAAAAACTGCAGGTTTTCTTTCCCGTTTCTTGTTTTTCTCCAGGTATCTATGCTGTACAGCTCCTCGGTGGTGTGTGACTTGCTTCAGTCGTGCTACACTGGCTTCTTGCAGTTCAATCCGGAGGAGATCGTCAACTATCTGACTGCAGCTAGCTACTTCCAGATGGAGCACATTGTCGAGCAGTGCAGGGCAGCGCTGGAGAAATACGTTCAGATGAAGAACCCCGCTGCACTGAAGGTCAGTTTTTTTTAAAAAGTCACATAAGTACCATGCAATTAGTTAAAAAAAAAACAAAAAAACTAAGAACTTTATTTTAAATATTAAAAGTATGTATCTACTTGAGTTCCTGTATTTTTTTTTTCCTTTAGACCATTTACACTTACATTTTTAAAACTATCCCATTTCCTCTTCTCTTTGAATTTCTAGGTGAGTGAAGAGGAAAGCCAGACCCAGCCGGTTATAATCAGCGCCAGTGTTCATTCGGTTTCACCTCCCCCCTCTCGACTCTCCCCCGTGCTGCAACACAGCCCTGCAGTCCTCTCAGCGGAGGAAAACAGTGAAACATCTGCTCAGGGCAGCGCTCGGCACCATGACGACGGTCCTGTGCTAGACGAGCCTCGTATTAGGGTATCTGTTTTGGTTTTGCTTTTTCTTTAAGCTAAATAGTTCTATACACAGCACTGATAAGACATTTACAAATGAATGGCAGAGTGCGACTAATATTTCTGGAACAAAAATCTTTTGCAACAGCAGAAAGAGCCACAACCCAGTGATTCATTCTTAAACTCTAAAGCTTCTGTAGTGTGTTAAAATGCAGCTCAGCAGGTTTAAATATACAACCATTGCTCCCACAAAGTTAAAACATTGTGTAAAATAGAAATCAACACAGAATGCAGTGATTTTCAAATTTTATAAATCCATACTTTATTCACAATAGAACATAAAAATGCATCAAATGTTGAAATTAAGAAACTGTTTCTTTTGAAAAATAGGATCATTTTGAATTTTTGGGCAACAACTTTTCTGCACTGATGCATATGCACTTTGTATGTATGTAAGCTGCCTATGATAAAAGCACGTATGCAACCCCATACCATCAGAGAGGCAGGCTGTGTGCTGATAATGGGCTGCATAGTATAAAGAACAAGGTGTCTGTGGTTTCCAAAAATAATTTCAAATTTTGATTAGTCCGACCATAGGACCGGTATCTGCTTTGCCTCAGCCCATTTTAAATGAGTTTTGGTCCAGAGACAGCTGAGTTTCTGGATGGTATTGAATCTTTGCACGATAGAGCTTTAACCTGTTTTTGTGGATCACATGGTAAAATGTGTTTATGACTTGTAAAAACATTCCTGAGTCCATTCTTCATTATTTGTCTTTTTAACACTTTAAGAGACTCGTCTTTTTATTGTTTTCACATGTAAGCCATAACTTTTAAATCCTGTTTTGTTGCAGGTTAACATATCGGACGAGGAGGAAGAGACCAAACCGGATTATAATCTGTTCAGAATGTACATCTCTGAAGAAGGGCAGGCCAACAGAGACGGAGAAGCTGACAGAGCTTCCCCTGATCTTCCTCGAGAAGTCTGTTACCCAGAGACACAAGTTGGTATCGCAGGAGATGGCAGCGAGTACGACTTAAATTCAGCAGGGGACCTCGGGTTTGGGGGGCTTTCGGTGGAGGGTCTCCGTGCGATCAGGCGCAGACTGTCCGACTCTAAAGTTGGCCGTGGCAGAGGGAAGGGCAAAGGAAGAGGTTTCAAAAAGAGACGGTGGGCGACGTCTCAGGAGAAAAGACCTTTTAGTATAGCTCACCGTCAGGACCTGTGGTTCCTTACAGCTGGTGGACTGGGAGGGGCTTTAGGGCTGGACTACAGCCAAGAGGAGCTGAAGCTAGCAGGAAGTTACCTCTCGGCTGAAATCCCCAGATTAGACTTCAGTTTGAGTAACAGTCATGGAGACAGAGTTTCACCCATCGCAGCCAACAGCTTGAATCAGTTTTCTCTGGAAGAGTCGGACGCCGGCGAGGGGAGTTCAGGTTTGACAACCGTTGGAACGAACGAGGGCGGGGACGAGTCCGTCGCCGTGGTCGGGTCTACTTCCAGCGTGACCGGCCCGGTGATCTGCGAACACTGCGGCCTGACGTTCCCTTCAGCTCACACCCTGGCCGTCCACTCCCGCTCCACCCACCTGCTGTACGTGTGCCCGTGCTGCGGCAAACATTTCCACCACGCCACCAACCTCACCCGGCACATGGCCGTGCACCGGGGGGGCAGCAAAGCCCACCAATGCCCGCTCTGTTACAAGACGTTCACCCAGAAGTCCACGCTGATCGACCACATGAACCTGCACAGCGGCGAGCGGCCGCACCACTGCGCGTACTGCCACGCCCGCTTCGC